TGGACCCAGAATGTATTTGGGAAGGACTTTGATATTCTGTCATACTCTAGTTACTCCGAGAAGCTTGAACTGTTGGTCCCATTTAAGACCTAAGTCATGGCATAAAATATAATTTTCAGGAACTTTACCGAATACTGTGCATTGTGTTTTCTTTATTTGTATTTCTAAACCCGAAATTTTATGAAAACTATTTAACACTTGTATTGCATTTCTAAGATTTTGGGATTCATATTCAAGAAAAATGCTACAGTCGTCAGCGTATAATGATAGAAGCAATTCAAGGTTTCCTATTTTGAACCCTTTAACATTCTCAGAGTTCCTAAGTTTTAAACACAAGATTTCAATGCACAGTACAAATAGTGCAGAAGCTATTGGGTCACCCTGTCTGCATCCGCGCAGGACTTGGAAAGGGGTGGAAATGTTTCCGGCATGGTTAATACTAGCTTTAAAATTATTCAACAAAATTTTTATCCATTTTATAAAGTTTTCCTTAAAGCCGAAATGAATAAGCGAACCTTCAATAAACTTAAATGATATGGAGTCAAAAGCTTTTCGAAAATCTATAAGAAGGAGCAGGCCACTTCTGTTATTGCGCTTGGCATATTCTATGACGTCATAAGTTGTACGTATACAGTCTCCTATATATCTACCAGGCACAAATCCACATTGATCTAGATGAATTAAATGTGGCAGTACTCCATTTAATCTTTTGGCTAGGACACCAGAAATTATCTTATATATACTATTTTGGAGGGTAATAGGTCGCCATGAATCTAAAAATTCCTTTGGCTTCTCGCCTTTGGGAATTAGTGAAATTATACCTATAGTTTGAGAATTTGGCAATTTATTAATTTCAAAACTGTAAATTGTTGCTTTATGAATAAAAGAACCTAGTTGTCGCCAGAAAAATTTATAGAACTCGTATGTAAATCCTGAGTATCCAGGAGATGAACTATTTTTAGTATTTTTAAGTACAATAGAAAGCTCTTCTAAACTAATTTCTTTTTCTAGTTCGTGTGACTGTTCATCTGTAAGCTTTGGACTTTCAGTATTCACATCCAAGAAATCAGTAATACTATCTGTTAAAAGCGAGTCATGATTATCATAGAGATCAGCATAATATTTTCTAATTTCGTCTTGAATATCATCTTGATCGGTAATTTCTACTTCCGGCCCTTCATTTTGTACTTTAAGTTTTGAAATATATTTTTGCGCATTGAAATTCTTTTCAAGTGAACAGAAGTATTTAGAAGGCTTCTCGCCATCAATTTTATCTGTAACTTTATTGCGATAGTTTATTTTAATGGCTCTATTCTCAATAAATTCATTGTATATGGTTTCAGCATACTGCAATTCAACATCAATATTTAGGGGCGGGTTAGGCTGCGCAGCAATGTTTTGGAGTCTCGTATAATTATTAAACAATTGCTTTTCATGTTCATTTTCCCTCCTATATTTTGCTGTTGAATACGAAATAGTTTCATTGCGAATATCCATAAGTAGCATTTCAAGCAGTAAATGGGGGTTTATGGTGAATTCTAAATCTTGAATTGCATTTATGTCCAGTGACAAGAATTCATTAATCTCATTCTCAGTTGAATCTTGGTAAAAATTTCTATAGGTGGCATGTTTAAGATATTTTGCACAAGTTACTTTAATAGAAGAATTTATTCGACTAATGTATTCAGTGTCCTTGAGAAGCATGGCATTGTGTTTCCAGAATCCTTTACCCCTTTTAAAGTTTGAATAATCAATAGTAAGTATAATGGGGTTATGGTCAGATCTAAAGGACGGATATTTTTCGAAGTTAGTAATATATGGTCCCAACGAATTACTGGTAAGAAACATATCTAGACGAGAGCGTTGTGAGCCTCCACTTTTTTTCCATGTAAACATTCTACTGTTATTATTTAAGTGTCTGTATGCATCAATAAAGCCATTTGACTCGATGTGCTGGTTAAGACAGTTCCTAGCACGGATATTCCTTGGCTGAGCATAATTATAGTTGTCTAACTCATGAGTCAATGTTACATTAAAATCGCCGGTAATGATGCAGTCAGTAATATTAGAATGTTCTATATAGTTAAATATATTATCAAAAAAATCTGGACAGTCTTCATTCGGACCATATATGACCCCTATGAGTATTCTATTTCCCTCAAAAGTGCAATGTAGCCATAATAAGTTGCCGGAGTCATCATGAGTATTTGAATTGACAATTATAGGGCATGTTTTTTTTATAAGAATAGCAACACCCCTGGCATTTGATCTAAGGCTATTAAAGAAGCAGTAGTTATTAGTCTCATTTTTAATAACGTCGTGAATGTTTGTGCTGAAGCGTGTGTCCGATAGACAAATTATATCAGGATTAACTTTTTCTATGTGAAGGAAGAATTCTCTTCTTTTGTCATTATTTCCAAAGCCATTTACGTTGGCAGACAAAATGACCAATTTGCTTACAGAGTTGTTATAGGAATTACTAGTCATTTAAAGTTAAAGTGGTTGATGAAAATCTTATAGAGAGTAATACAAATTGTAAAATATGACATTGTAAAATTGTTAAAATTAGACAGATGTCGGTGCAACGGAGTTAAATATTTAAATTGAGTGGAGTGAGGTATAAAATATAGTGGGAGTGGGGGTGGGGGTGGGGGGGATGTGATATGATATGAAATTGATTAGCTTGCACTGGGTTGGGCTACTGCATAGAATATGAGCGCTGCCATGCTGAATATCAATCCTTTGAACATTCTCAAATTCAGCTTTGTTGAGAAGCTGTTTAAGTCCTGCATCAATTGTAAGCGTGGTGGCATCACCAATGCTGCTAAGTAATAAGGTGCGCTTTGCATTCTTTAAAGAAGCATCATTTACAGAGACAGAGGGAGTAGCGCCGGCCTTTGATGAATTGCCTTTTACGTGATTAGCCATACTATTTGGATGCGGAAAAAATTCGTCTATGATAGTGTAAGACTTGGTTGCGCCGTTATCTCTGTCTCTATAACGAAGCTGCATCAAGTGACCCACGAATATGATCTGCGTCGAGCAATTGAAGAACTTTCTATGTTTATAGGCTTTTCGCTTCATAATTTTGTATTGCTCTCGGTAACCCAACGGAATATCCCTATCAAACACTACCCCCTTAGGTAAATTTTTGGCATATTTTAAGATTTCGTTTCTTTGGAATCCATTTTGAAAGGTAACCAGTAAGGTGGGTACTCTTTCCCCACCATCTTTCCCCATTTTAGAGACAGACGTTATGGTGTATGCTAGATCAGATGGGATAGACAATTGGGAGAAAAGTTCTTTGACTTTTTCATTAGGATTCTCAGCCTTCAGTCCAAATATGAGTAGATTGCTGGCAATCTTTTCATTTTCAACAGACAGTGTGTGTTTGTAGGCAGACAAGTGACTAGACGTGTCCCCAATTTCATTGACAATTTCACTCTTCAATGTAGACTTTAAGGAATCAACTGTGGATCTAAGATCAGACATATCCCGACCTTGAGAAGAGACAGTATCATGTAGGGTATCATGTTTGTTGGAGAGACTGGCAACTTCAATTGTTAAAGGTTCAAGTTTGGAATCTAACCCGGCAATAATCTTTTTGTTATTTTCTTCAAGAATGACTTTGTACGCATCAGAAGTTTTGCTGACGGCATCACTAATCATTTGCTTTACTTCTTCCGAATCCATTTTAGGTTTTTTAGAAATCTCAATTGAATTATCAGCCTTTCTTTTGTTTCCAACTTTCTTAATCTTAAGGACCGTGGTATTTTCAGAAGAACTTGTAGATTCAATTTGCCAATCTGCCATTTAGGATTATTGCTAAAAAGAAAAAACCAAAATAATGGACTATGGAAGAGAAAACAACAAATTATAGAAATAGTAGAATAATAATGCTTCTCGCCTGTTTATAATCTATTAAAGGGCTTCTCGCCGATATATTCTAAAAGGGCTTCTCGCCATCCAACAATTTATACCAATTGTATACCTTATAACACTGAAGGACTTGGTTTAAGCGGACTTGAAGATTCAGAACTCTCTAGAATGATGGCGCCGATAGAACTGAAGTTAACATCGTGATTTTGAGCCTTCTCATTGGGCCATTATATCATATGGTTAGATATAGCATATCACGTGACTAGACACTGTCTTCCTATTGGTTAGGATTCTGCCACCGCTGCTTGCGCGAACGATTCTGCGCAGATACATTTTATCACAAAAAATGTTAAAACACCCCTTTTTAAGTTAGATTTCACTCCGAAAAGTATTTGGTCCTATCCGTTGCATATTAAAAAGGTTTTAAACTACATTTAAATAATCCTTTGTATTGTGTAACTTAAGTTTTAATGTCACTTTTGTAAGAGCAGAAATTGTGCGTGTTGTCAGTATCACAGTACAGGAAAAAACTCTAGAATTTTGACTCTATATACATACTCTATAACTCTATATACATAGTACAAATACAATCCACTATATACATAGTACACATACAATCCAATATATACATAGTACACATACACTCATCATTGTACATAGTACGATTCTGCGCAGATACATTTTATCACAAAAAATGTTAAAACACCCGTTTTTAAGTTAGATTTCACTCCGAAAAGTATTTGGTCCTATCCGTTGCATATTAAAAAGGTTTTAAACTACATTTAAGTAATCCTTTGTATTGTGTAACTTAAGTTTTAATGTCACTTTTGTAAGAGCAGAAATTGTGCGTGTTGTCAGTACAGAGACTCTTTATAAGAGACATAATAATATTATGGCTTTTGAAATTAGGTATTACAATGCTAATTCAAAACAAAGACGATATCGAATTCGTCACTGAATTCCCATGTTTTTTGGGACACCCTGAATAACAGCTAAAAAGTCCTGTCTAAAATTGCACATCTTGAAATTGTACTCGATGGCACAGAACAGTGTCGATACTTTTTTTTTACCATAAATCTAAAAGCAAGCTGCATGGTTGAACTAGTAATCAGTTAACAACATTTATATACGTAGATTTTATTCCAATATTAGTATGATATGATGATTACATGTTTACATTACATATTAATTATTTAAAAATTAAAAACTTTTATACAATTTTATCTCAGATATTTTTCAAGTCTGGACTAATTTTAATTTCTTCACAGAAGAAAAATTCACTATAAAACAATTAATAAAAGTGTTCTTTTGAAAATTCAAAATCGACAATTTACGAGCGAGTCTAAGGACCATCCATCCATACAGTAATTGTTCGACGTGTTTTGATAAGGGTGTATAACAGCGGACGACAAATTTCGCAAAAAAAGCGAAATTTCGCGAAAATTTACTTTTGTATTTCGAAAACTTTATCGCGAAATTTTTAAATTGTATAATATTCTATTTATAGTGCTCACTGCTCGCTATAGAGTACCCGGGCCTAATATTTTAACCCTGGAATAGATTGAATTTTTTTCTAAAAAATATCAACACGCGACAAATCATCAAATATTGTTCATTAATTGTACGAATGTTTGTACAAAGGATACAAATTCAGACTGATTCTGGTATTACTGCTTTAAACAGGGTTCCTCACAAAGGATGAGAATTTAATTAGGACCAGAAACTGTTTAAATATGACAAGTTACATTCTTAAAAGTTATTTTAAATGCTTTTGCATGATAGAAACAAATTGAAATCTACACAGGTTAGCAGGAATTAAAGATATAATACGGAATAAATTCCGTATACAGTCGTCTTTGAAGTCTTATCCTTTGAGGGTAACCCTGCATCATTTCATTATACAAACATCGAAAATTGGTCACATCGTAAAATTTATGTGATCAACCAAAAAAAAATGAAAAAAATTGGAAAAAATATAATTTTCGGAAAATTTCGCTTTTCTGCATTTCATAAGTTTGTCTATATTTTGGATAAATGTGATGTATTGTTGAGATAAATGTCACTGGTACAGTCCCCGCCCGGATATCTAACCTAAAATAGAAGACGACATTTAACAAGAAAAACTTTTCAAAATAGAATAAACAGAGATTTACTATTAGATTCAGAAGCTTAAATTTATGATAACAAATACATATATGATAGTATAATATATTATTATATTCAGACTACAATTCTTATAATGGCAGGGTTACCATCCACGAGTTATATAATTTAAAAAGAATATTTTATTCTTTCTCTTTTGTTAGCCTTTTTGACTATGAACTATTACTGCAAAAGAAAATTGCCTGTCACTGTAATTCAAACAGATATGTATATCAAATTACACAAATCGCCAAAGAATACTACAGAAAGTTAACATTTTTGAAAAATATCCCGGACCCTATTTTTATATCTGACCTCATGTGCAAGTACAGGACCGTCAGGTTCGTCTCCGAAGTCGACAAGAAAGTCGTTGTCGAGCTGAAGACCTCCGTTCTTTGTGTCGACATTGATCTTAAACAGCATGGATCCCTGAAATAACATTAAGTTATTTATTCAGATTGTCATAGTTTTTGAAATGACACTTGCAGTTTTTGGAAGGGAATTGTGATGAATCTTTATTTTCTTATAAATATATGAAATTATAATTTAAAACAAATTTAAAAATTGTATAGTCTACTTTTAACATTTTTCCCTACTGCACTTGTAATAAAAAATAAGATTTAAAAACGGATCAAATTGTAAGACCAACTATATTTTCAAATTGAGTACAGTCTACATTGTACATTTTGTGATTCATGAATCAGTCATGATATTCTAAAAACTTTACCAATTTTTAGAAAAAAAATAATTCTATTTTATAAAATACCTTCTCCACCATATCTGGGTAGAATTGTTTATCCCACGGACCAAATAACGATGTTGTCACGTAGAGTCTAGTTCCGTCCAGGGACAACTGAAGCATCTGAGGTGCTCCGTAGATACGTTTACCTTTGGCATATCTTACCTCTGGTTGAACCTGAACAGTAAATTAACTTTTTTTCTGAGAAGTTTTTAATAGATTTAATATTGTATGTGCTGAAATGTTGGTAGTTCTTTTCCACTACGCAAAATTTACTCTGGCTGCACTAAATGTTTATTTACCCTATGATACGACTGGAAAATTTACTCTGGCTGCACTTAATGTTTATTTACCCTATGATAAAATCTTAATGTTTATTTACCCTATGATACGACTGGAAAATTTACTCTGGCTTAATGTTTATTTACCCTATGATACGACTGGAAAATTTACTCTGGCTGCACTAAATGTTTATTTACCCTATGATACGACTGGAAAAGTTAGAAAGTGTTTAATTAGGTCACGAGCTGGCTTGTTCTAAATTGTTCATACATTATATTTCTTTCTATTTGATATTTACTGAATCAACATGTTTAGTAGCAATGAATATAGTCCTACAATAGTTTTGATTATTTAAAAATCTGATTAGATTGCTTTACAACAGTATATATATGATTATGATTTTATTTCTATGTGAAAATAAACCATAATAATAATCATAAAATATATGCCTAAAAGATTTTTTAATCTTTCAGGCATATATCTTCTCCCAAAGCAAAGATAATGACTCAAAAGCAATCTTGTATAGACTTGTTAACAAATTCAAGAAAACACGAAGACGATTATTACTGTGTAGCGAAGTTGACCGCGGAAGATTCACAATACTATAATACTATATCCGCTCCAAATGTGTCTCCTCATGTTCCCCCCCCCCCCCCTTACCGCCTCTACTTGTGGGGAACAGCGTCAGTTAGCTTTAGAATGTCGAGATGTGAACACCTCTGATCTGGAACTACTAACTCCTTCATACTGCCGCCGATGTCTACTCTAGCAACAAATGCTGCTAATGTCTAAGCGTCCATCATGTCCAAATCCACAAAGCAGTCGCATGTCCCGGGGTTGAGAGGCAATTCAAGTTCCTCCCTACACATAATCCAGACTGCAAACCCTCCAGGACCGTCGCCTAGATGTGAACCCTTTGCTGTCAAGATGCTGACACCTGTGAGCTGACCATCATGAAGCTCCAACTGTTCCTTTCCTTTCAACACTATTAATCAATGTTATTTCATTTTCAACCGTTTAGATACTCCCAATTAAGGGCCAATATTTTTAAACTTTTCTTTTATTTCTCATTTCATGCTATTATTCAATAAAGTTACCGAATATCCCTGTTGTTCTCTTATTTGTGTCAACAAGACTATACAATTGTTTAAATTTGAAAACCGAAAAATCTTGGTACGCAAATAAACCGGACCAAGCCTTAATTCAATAAGAGAACTGTTATTGTAATTTCAAGTAACTCTACATTTGAAAAGGGACATGCACGATTTACAATGGTCCCCTATATGTCTGATCAATAAAGGTAAAAGCGTATTTAATTTCAAAGAGAACCCATAATTGAAAATTTTTAATTTCAGACCAACAAAATGTTAATTTTGGCCCCGAAAAAGCTTTTTAGGGTATACCACTAAATCATAAAATGCTACTCATTACAATTTCTTCAATAGTCCTATAAACCTTTAAAACAGTCGTTGTCGTATATACCCATATAATGAAGAATAATTTCGATTTAAATGTTTGAACACTACCCAACTCTTTAACAGCATGATCATACTCATCAACATTGAAACAATGAATAGCTTCTCTAAATTTGTAAACTTTTGATTTAAAAAAAGCTTGTGGGAAATCAAAACTTAAATTATAAAATCGTCTTTAATGTATTAATATAAACGCCGACCAATGTACCCTACCGAAAGTTCTGTGTCGTGGGTTACTGTGATTGGACCACTCTTCAGTACAGATCCACCCAGAAATATTTGTACCCTACCGATAGTTCTGTGTCGTGGGTTACTGTGATTGGACCACCCTTCAGTATAGATCCACCCAGAAATATTTGTCCAACAAGTTTAGGATTCCTTAATATAAAATCTAATTGTAATTTAAAAATCGTCAAACATGTTTCATATTCTTCGTAATTAATGTTGATTTTGCAAAACTGGTGGAAAATTATTTCAACTAGTTTTCAATTTCTGAAAACAAAATTGTCAATAGTATATAATATTACAACAACATTACATGTAAAAGTAACCGTCTGGAATGCCTTGGATTTAATAAAAATTACCCTTATTCGGGGATTGCAAGGAAAAATATAAAGAAAAAAAATGTTTTCATTTTTTTGTGTAACTTAAAACTAAACCATTTTAACAGGAAAAAAAACAGTCCCTGAGTAATGAACAAAAACTTGAGAAGAAAATGTCAAAGTTTGAAATTAAATAACCTTGTATCTGTAATATCATATTGTCTCACGTCTCCATGTAACCAGTTCGAGAAATACAAGTACTTGTCATCCATACTTAGGATAATATCGGTCATTACACCGGGCATCTCGGGCAGAATCCAACCATCAACCTGGATAAAATACTCAAGATTATATCGGTCATAACACCGGGCATCTTGGGCAGATTCCAACCATCAACCTGGATATAATACTTAGGATTATATCGGTCATAACCCCGGGAGTCTCAGGGAGAATACAACCATCAACCTGGATAGAATATTCCAGATTATATTGGTCATGTGACATCCCGAGTATTTCGGGCAAAATTTATATGTTCAAATCCTGAAAAAGATTCTGTCTCCAAAGTCTTTTTTAAACATAAGAAAACACATCTGTGAATTAAATCTGTTCTTTTATATCAAGTAGAAGGATTTTTTTGTCTAATCGATGAGTTAGACAGGGTTTTATTGCCTGATTTTTTTAGGTACTGATGTATTTTTTTCTGGGGGGCTGAAACCTTTCCTGATTGACCCTCTAGAACTCCTACCTTCTTGTTTGGTATATCAATAACCTTCTCAGCGTCCCAGGATCCATCAGCTGTTTTGAAGAACCGGAACACGTTGGCAAACAGGGCGCAGCCTACAAACCCCTCGGTAGCCTTTGGGTCATGCAGGAACCTATTCATGTTAATTTTAGATCATTGGATTGTTTAAATTGTATGTTTTAGATTTAAACGTTAATTTAAAATTGAATTTTAAACAGAATGGATACATAAAACATGATTACAAAAAGAAGCTTTCATTTAAAAAGCTACTCTTAGATAACTTGTAAACTTGTAATTGGAAAAAAATATATGACAGAAGATATAATTAGTCGTAACTGTTTGAATACTTCACGGAATTCTTTAAAATCTAAAATAAATCATAAAATAACGATGCATAATTCTAAAGTACATCGTTAAAGTACAAACTTAAAAACCTGTTAAACAAGTTTAAAATATTAAGATTTTCCTGTTGCACTTGCAATAAATCTAATTGCAATATGATGTTTAGAACAAAAGAGGTTATATAATAAACGTTTTGCAAATCTTAAACCCAACGAGAGGGGTGGNCCCCCTTGAAATATTATAAACTATGCAGAGTTAGCTTAAAACACGCATATGTAAATAAAATAATAAAAATAATCTTAATTTTTCAAGAAAATAATTTTTTCCATATGTTTAATGTTTATTTAAATAAGAGATGCATTATAAATCTACATGTAGTAAATGCCCTACTCCAACAAAGTCTTTTAGATCTGTATCAATTCAGGTATAACCTTCCGTATCCTTAGGTATTTATCTTTCAAGATACAACTCAATCAAGAACTACAGGTCGTTCAATAATACTTTAGTCAATATCAAACCCAATATGACTATATCAGTATTCTCAGGTATCTGTCTTATAAGATACAACTCAATCATGAACTACAGGTCGTTCAATAATACTTTAGTCAATATCAAACCCGTTACGACTCTATCAGTATTCTCAGATATCTGTCTTACAAGATACAACTTAATCATGAACTGCAAGGTCACTCAATAATACTTTAGTAAATATCAAACTTGTTAAGACTCTATCAGTATTCTCAGGTATCTGTCTTACAAGATACAACTCAATCATGAACTGCAAGGTCACTCAATAATACTTTAGTAAATATCAAACCCGTTACGACTCTATCAGTATTCTCAGGTATCTATCTTACAAGATACAACTTAATCATGAACTGCAAGGTCACTCAATAATACTTTAGTCAATATCAAACCTGATATGACTCTATCAGTATTCTCAGATATATGTCTAACAAGATACAACTCAATCATGAACTAGAGGTCGCTCAATAATACTTTAGTCAATATCAAACCTAATACGACTCCATCAATTTTTCCTAACCTATATCTATCTTTCAAGACTCAAAGCTCAGGTCCCTCTCGTTTCCCTTCACAAGGCATACAATTATTCTAACACCGTAATTAAAGCGGAGTATTATTCCAGCTTACATATACTTTGAGTTCTATGGTACAGGTTACATTAATGAATGTAACAAGTTTTACATAGTTATTTATAAGTGTACAGTGATGACCAGAAAACAATGGAATAATAATACGACATTATAGCAGTACTTAAGTACATTTACGGTTGTTACAAAGCAAATAGTTTTACTACACACTTATTAGATTACTAATTAATTAAAATGGGTCTGTTTACACTCCACAATGGCTGTGTCTTATGTTCAAAGGACTATTTAGAGTCATAATTTGAATCTAAAAGTTGTCTTTCTTTTCCAGAGTTTTCTGGTTATCACTGTAGTTTAATCATAAAAATACAAATTTGACGTAGTTATCTAAAAGTGTAGTTAGGACAATGTACAACGTAATTTATCTAGGTGTGTTTAGGTTTATAAATATGGGGTTTTCTACAATATTTATTACATACATAGATATAGTTAAAAATCAAGTACATATGTAAATCAAATCTGCAACTGTGCTATTTCTTGTGTGTATGTGTGTGGGGGGGGGGGGCGGGGTCAGCATTTCTGTGAGTTTGAAGAAAAAATTTGGGACGCCATAAGCGAAGAAAAACTGATTCTAGAAATTCTTGTTTTTCTAGAAAAATCTTGGTATTTTCACGATTTTCCCATGTTTCACTTTGATAATTGCATAAAATTAAATGCTTTAGTATTATTTAACTTAACACTATTTAATGCATATTCTGCAATTGTATATGTTGAACCTCCCCCCACCCAATTATTGTTGCTTTAAATTAAGAAACATTAAAAGAAAAAATGTTCAAATCTATGTTACAAATTTCAAATGAGCACAAACAATGTCTAGGCCCTGTATCTTTGCAACCTAAATTGAAACTATGAATTTTGTTAGATCAAATAGTCTAACTTTAAAATATCAAAGTTTTACATAATTAGGTTGCAAAGATACAGGGATTACAAAGGCAGAGTTTGTGGCCAATATTCAATTCTTTTGATCTTTTCCGTCATGAATATTTCACATACAACTACAGGGTTACCTGTACCCCACATACAACTACAGGGTTACCCACAAATTTTAAATGTTTAAATATAATAATTCCAAGGTTAGATTAAGTCCTCTGCCATAAATGTAGTTGCTATAGATGGCTTATTTATCGATTCGACAAAGAACAACAAGCAATTTAACAGTTGCAGGGAACCATAAACATATGGAAACGGACAATTTACATTTCGTACAGTCGTAATCCTATGTGGGTAACCGGCCTGTCACTATGTAGCAAATATAGAGGCCCATGATATAGCTAAATGTGCCCATTAGTAAATACATAAATTATGTATTGCGATTAACCCATTCAATGTACGTACTACGTAGATATAACTACGCTGTTAAAAAACCCATTTCTGATCTAAACTGAAGAAATATGCCTTAGTTGATATAGAGACTCCGTACCGTTTACTGCAAGAGAGTAATTGATCCCTGTTTTGATAAACAGGTTGAAGGTTGTGTCCTAGTTGAGACATTGATATTCGTGTCCTGGTTGAGACATTGATAGTTTACGATGTGTCCTAGTTGAGGCATTGATAGCTCACGATCTTGTCCTAGTTGAGACATTGATATCTTACGAGACAATTTCCTATTTGAGGCATTGATAGCTCTAGATTGTATCCTAGTTGAGACATTGAAAGTTTACGAGATCGCGTCCAAGTTGAGGCATTGATAGCTCAAGATTGTGTCCTAGTTGAGACTTTGATAGTTAATTGCTATAGTGTCCCTATTGACATCGATAGCTAACGAGGTGGTAGTGGAATTGATAGTTCACGGATTAGTAGCTATGTGTTGACATTGATAGTCAAGAGAATCTAAGTTGTACCTGGAAAGAAACTGTTATGGAGTAGGGCGTTTACTACATCTATACGGTCTACCTTATCTCTAGAGGCATAACTCCCTCCTTCCCTAAATCTATTTTCTGAATGAGTTTTCTCTCGGTCCAATCAAACACGTTGAGATGGGTTCCATAGCTACCTCCTTCAACATGGGCCAGGTCAAGTCCCCCAAAGAAACACCTGAAAACATTTGTAAAACTCTTCATATGTAAAAACAGAATGACATGTCCTTTTCACAGCGTTACCGTTTAAATACGTCGTTAATTCTAAAGTTGAAACTCAAGTGCCAGTGTACACTCAAATATTCCGGCACTCAATTTTCTGTAAAAAAAATAGGGATATCATATTCATCATGTAGGATCAGACAAAGGTTTAATTTGCTATAAATGGAGGCTTACTTGAAACTGCTTCTAGCCCAATTAACTTATTGTCATTGTAAACTTTTTTATTAATATTTCTGACCTAGGGTGCCCCCATTCAGTGCTGATCATTACATTGTGGAAGGGTTGATACCAGTAATCATATCTAAACAAGAATTAAAAGTTTAAAAATTAAATTTGTTGATAATTATTTTACATTAAATGATGAATTCGCTTGGGCCAAGACGATTTTAAGTACAATTCGGTATCAGTGTAATCGTTAAGAATAAATCGAATGAATTAAGTCTTTGTCATAAACATTTATTTCTTCCAATATCTTTGCAACCTGCTCTTTTAAGCCTTTGATAATGCAAACTTAGATTATTTGATCTTATAGAACATGCATAGTTTGAAATATTTAAGGTCTGCGAATTATGATGTTAATGTTACAAAGATAATTGGGTTTAGAAAATCAGTGTATGTGACAAAAAATCATTCCTTTTAAGTTGTTATGGTTATACCGATAAAAGAACAAGGAATGGTGCACCCCCCCCCCTCCCCCTAAATGAACCGAAGTCAAAACTTGATGGTCTACAATAAGTTAAGATTTTAATATTTAAATTACCCAAAAGGAAGCGTCTCTCCGTCCTTACAGTATGTTCCCTAAATAACCAAAAAATGTCTTCAAAAAAAAATATAACAAAGAAGGTTTGACAGTGATGAAAAAATAGAATAAGTTTAAATAAAAATAAATCATTTTCTGATTTCCTTCGGTTTAAAAGTTTCTCCATCTAGAAGGAGAAAACTTCCTTTTCCATTTTTCTCTGGTCCATCTCCTAAAATTGAAGAAGGATGACTTTTTTTATCAACTTTTTTACATATATATTCTTAACTTTCTGTTCATATTTTCAAACAAAAATGTTCTTCAGGAAGTTAATTAACTAAATGGTTTTCTAACAAACTGAACCTAATGTTGAAATCATAACATCTCCATCAGCTAGGCAGTGAGTAGTATGGGGAGTACTTACTCCAAACTTATGCATCTCCCAGGGCTCCACAACCTATAAAACAAACAAATGACTATTTTCAAATTCTTTTGGTTTTAAGATGGAAATTTCTTCTTGAAAAGAACTATATACGTAATTTCAAGTGACCCTAAATTACTGCTTTCTAAGTCACAGCAGTAGCCTTGCTGTTCATTAACTTGTAACTGTAAAATATTTTAATTTTTTATAGCAGAAATCCGCAAGTCACTTTTATAGAAAAACCACAATTAAAAATAATTAATTTGAAAAGTAAAAAAACATTAATATCTCCTTTGTTCTAATGTATGCTATCTATAAATGTAAATCTATAGTAAAGTTGTGATTTTGAACTTTTGTCTGACCTTGTCGAGTTTTGGATTTTTCGGATCAGTTTTCACGTCAACAACATAGATTCTATCAGATCCTAGTCCAGGTACTATCAACCTTTATTAGGCATTTTTATTCAGGGGGTCCAACAAAGGATGAGACTGTAAAGACGACCAGAAACTGTTAGTACAATCCTAAGGTTAAATTAAGTCTTTTGCCTTAAATATTGTATATGAATGGCGTATTTAATGATTTCGGAAAGAAGGATACAACTGTTTACAGGAAAAAGGAAAAAGACAGTCCACATTCCGTACAAACGTCTCTGAAATCTCGTCCTCTGATAACTAATTTAGAATTCAATACATACAATAAGGGGCTAAGATTGGAAGAAGAAAAGTCGAAATTAGCACTAATTTGTTGATCAATATTTATAGTTTGTATTTTTGCTTTTAAAATGCCAATATTAAATCATGAAAGGCCACATTTTTTAGAACCTCGCCAAGCATTAAAAACGTGAAAATTTGTGCTTTATGCAGTTAAATCAGACAAAATTATCATGTTGTCTTCAATTGGCTATTGTTATAAACTTGCCTTCATGATTGAAGGAGTAATGGGCAAAATGTTATTAAAGTTCCACGTCATTATGAGCACATTTTAGAGTTCATTGCTTAAAAATGCTCAAAAATTCCTTTTTTAACGATTAAAAATATGACACCTGCTTCTTGATCTCTCCGGGTTATCATAGCATGAGCTGCATGCATTCCACCCAGTGTGATGAATCTCATCTCCGATATATGGGAAATGTAGGCGAGAAATAACCTAGAAGAATACAATTTATGACTTAAAAAGTCAAACCTGAAGAAAGTATATATATTTGGGTGGTTTTCTGAAATTTCCGAAATTGTTATAATCATATTTGCGGTTTAATTTAGATTGAGGTAACAGCGTCTAGACTCTAGACTTTTCAAATATATGGAACTTGAAACTTGATGGATTTACCTGGGAATAAGTAGGACTGGATATATTTACCTGGGAATAAGTAGGACTGGATATATTTACCTGGGAATAAGTAGGACTGGATATATTTACCTGGGAATAAGTAGGACTGGATGGATTTACCTGGGAATAAGGACTGGATGGATTTACCTGGGAATAAGTAGGACTGGATGGATTTACATCTACTGTAACAAGGTAATCAGGTCTAAACAAGATAAATGTCTCAATGGAGAAAAGTTCTGTAAAGTGTAAATATGTTAAATTACCTAGATTTGTCTAGAACTATACAGGGGATGTAAACTATCTTTTCGATACTTTTAGATAAAAATGCATCCCTGAAATAAAAAAATAAATAAAATGTTATCAAATGAAATAGAGCCCAACTAATTAACATTACATACTTCTAGTTAAGATTATTTTAGATCTGAATGAACATAACATAAAAACTAAGACATGTAAAGTAAAGTCTTATAACCTGAGCTTTAAGTTTGTTTCACGCCAATATTTCTGGTAATACGTTTAGCATTTAAAGGGACTGTAAAGCAAGAATGAAAGGGGGTATAGGCTGAAAGCTAATCGCTTTAGCTCTTGATCGCGTCCCATGAAAGTTTTATCTGATGTTCCTGTCTCGAGAAATTGATATAAAACTGTGTTAAAATTATACGAAAGTTCATAAATGTAAAATTTAGAAAATCTTAAACTTAAATCACGTGACCAGAACAATCACCAATGGCAGAGCAGTATACTGGTCACGTGTCTCTGCCTGTATCACGTGACCACGTTACTGCAATGTCATTAGTGGAATTTTGATCAAGTAATACGGACGTGTAAATAATATTATAAATTAAATATATTAAAAATAGAAATAACAAATATAAAATTAGAATTGGAGTAAACCTAAGTAATAATTAGCTTTCTCTGGGATATCATCGTTTTCAGATTGGTTGCTCATTTGCTGAATTTGATCTATTTAAACCCACTACTTTTATACAAAATTGTATATATATTAATTTTCGTATAAATTTTACACTGTTGTATATCATTTTCTCGAGATAGGAACATCAGATGATATAACTTTCATGGGTCGCGATCAAGAGCTAAAGTGATTAGCTTTCAGCCTATACCCCCCTTTCATTTTTCCTTTACAGTCCCTATAAATGTTACTTTATAAATAATAAATCAATAATATTTAATAAATATAGCTTTTCATAATCCTAGTAAATTTTCCGTTTTCTTAAAAATAGGATTTTTCAATGTTAATAGTTATAACCTTAGATTAATAACAACACAGATAGGCCACTAGAAGACCTCTTTTCGTTCAAAACAACCCTTACGCAGAAGGATTTACGCGTCTTGTAATTTAACGCAGCATGCGCGTAACTCCTTTGGGCTTCTGACTAAGGGTTATTGTGAACGAAAAAGCCCTAAATCTTGAAAATACGACCATGCAAGTGTTCTATATGTATTGTTTTTAATCTATGGTTATAACTAAGGGCCCAAATCCACCCCTCTGGGGTCATTTGATGTTAAGTGGATCTATTTAAATCAGTGATGCCCTGACAAGTGATTTAAATATCACAAAATAACTTAAATAAAGGAATTGTGTTTTCACAACAAACTTTTTCTAATCCTTAATCTTTGCAAGTCTTTATCACAGACCAAATTTAATGAATTTGAGCATCTTCGCTGAACTACCAACTGATGACGGTTTAAATTTAAAGCACCGATTCAAAGTTAAAGATAAAGAACGAATTTGAATTGGTGATTCAAATTTGAACTGTCGGTATAAGGCAGTTAAAAAAATTTTAATTCAGTCCCTTGTTTTGTTAAATAATTTAGGTTTGACATATCAAAGGTTTACACCATCAGGTTGTAAAAATATAGAGATTAAAAAATTTAAGTTTGTGGCAAAGACTTAATAATTTCAGCAAGTTTATTTTCTAAGAAATTATTTTTATACCTTGGGGTTGCATACCCCGGCCCACAGCCTCCACATTTCGCCATTTTTCTGAAGAAAAAAATACTTTAAAAAAAATTATTTATATCTCAAGGATCACAGGAGAGTTTTTTGAAAACAGCTCTCAGCTAGTAAAACTCTCCTGCTGAAGTAGTTTTAAATATGTTTAACCCTATCCTTGCTGGGGTGCTTGAAAACAATGATACAATCCCAAAATTCCATGTTTGATGTTAAAATATGACAAATGATACATCATTCGAAAGCTCTTATGCTCTTCTTTGCAAAAATTTGCAAATTTGCAAAAATTGTAATTTTCTTTGGAAAATACAGTTATATAATAAAAATGTTTGCAAAAAAATGTCAACTAATTATATGTTTAGGAACTTCCTCAATTATAATTTTCTCAATAAATCAATGTTAGAATCAATTAATTATTTTTCATCATTAAATTGCATTTCTTACTCTCTATGAATTTGTTCGCAGAATTCTTCAAATGTCGTCTTTTCAATCAAAAATTCCAGTAAATCTACAGAAAGTTTGTGAACAATGTGATATTACAGAAACCAAAAAATGAATAACATATTACTTATTTTCGATGATAGTGATTAATTTTTAATTTCTCAACCTGTTCCTAAACAACTAATTAGTCGAATGTACAATTTCTACTACATTTTTCGTCGTCGCTGAATAATTATTTTTAAAACCGATTCTCAAAATCATTCCTCAAAAATGAACAATCTTAGAGGATTTTATTTCCCAGTTCTTAATTTTTCTACTTGCTATTTTTTAAATTTTTCTTAGTTGTAAAAAGGATTAATGAGCTGTAAAGAATTAGAAAAACTAAAAATTATTAGAATTTAATTTGTCAGAAATTCATAGCTGTGTTTTTGTCCACAATTAAATGAAGAGATCCTAGAGAATGTATTTGATGCTTACACTCGCATAACCACTCATTTAAGAATCAATCATAGGGCACCTTATACTTAAATACTAAGCTAATATTAACTTTAAAATCCTCAAAAAATACCCAAAGACTTTCAAAATCTCCAAATCTGCACTTTTGACTGTCTAGTGTCTACTATGAAATCCGTAAGAAGACTGATATATTCTGGTGTCCTTATCTTGGGTATAATAGGATACAAGTTATATATAAGTAAAAGTGCCAACAGGAAGGGGCGCGCAATAGGGCGGTTGGGCTAAGAGACGAGAATGGGGCCGCAGGGAGGGGGGGGTGCGGTTCAGAACAAAGTTATATATTTTTTGTGAAATAAAATGAGGGTCACTGAAGAAAAGTACATCGATCTTAATTTTGATGGAAAAAAATGTATTAAAAATGTTTCGTTATTGAAACAAAAAAAGTAACCAAAAAATAAGACAATACAGATTTAATTTATCGTGTGCACTTTAATTACCCCACATTTCTGAATTTAACCCCGTCTCCGATCCTTGTAGTTAAAGGGTTTAGAGCTAAAAACTCCTGTATGGGATACCCTTAATCCCGATTGTTTAATCTCTGATTTTCTGCTTAATCCTCTCTTTTGGATATTCCTGCGTTCTCTCAAAGATTACGCGCTAAAATTTTGAAATTTCTTGGCTTTTGATTGGCTGTTCTGTTTCTACAATCAACACTTTGATTGGTTGAAGTTCAGTTAGATAATTTCCAGGATATTTACATCAAATTAAATTAGTCTGAAGATTAATAAAAAAGAGGAGATCAAGCATTGATCTCGATATCCACATTTCTAACGTGTTCAGCTCAGGTCGTATTTCAAGTTTCATCCAGCTAGGTTCTGACTTCTGCTCAAATCTTTGGTTTCAAGGGAGTGTTGCAGGCCTCAAGGGATGCTAATGGACAAACCTTATATTCTACTTGTATACGCCTCTCTGATAATAGAAAACAAATAATTTAAGATAATAATATTTATTATTTGTTTTCATTACCGAGTATTTTCCAGAATATATAGTATACAGCGCTCAAAAAAAGTGCATAGCATTAAAAGAATGGCTGTTTAAAGTAACATTTTTTCTTCGGGATTTTTTTATTTCTTAAGTAATTGTTTGTGCTTAAAGGGAGTGTAATTTCAAGTAAATTTTCATACCGAGAGGGCAATGCCCGATGAAAAACAGTCCCATTTAAACTTTATCTGATCAATAATATGCAAGATATTTTTCGATGTTAAAAATAATTAATTCTTTTAATTTCCAGATATTTTCCTTAGAGATAATGCGCAGGTCAATTTTGTCTTTTAACGAAGCAATACTAAAGAATTTGTTTTAAAAAGTTCAGGTTTTCCCTTTTCCGTCTCGTCAATTTGTAGGCATGAGTGCAGACGCACTAAAAAATTGTATTTTCCACGCACTGTTTTTTCACTTTTATAACAACATACCCTTGATTTCTTGATTTTATACATCTTATATATTTGTTAAATATCAAGTTTTCACCCGTTTAGGAACTGTGATGTTTAGGGAAGATAAGGGACAAGACTGAGCTAGAGAGGGGTAAGGGGTACAGTTGATTTAGAAAGGGAGGAGAAGAGGGGGGGGGGGGAACAGGTTCTTTGAGGTACAGGGTGACCCACAAAGGATGAGACTGTAAACTTAAACTTAAACTCTTAAAAGAAGATGTGCATCTACAGTAGGGTTACCAGCAAACTAAACTTTTCGCCAAAAAAGTATTTTCGCGAAATGCGAAAATTTCGCGAAAATGCAAAATTATCTTCACGAAATGTGAAATTTTGTGAAAACCATGAGTTCTATAGCTGCAACAATTAATTTCTCAAAAGAACTGCTCTGATAGCTCAATATTTGAAGTTTTATTATATCATATAAATAATTTCTCTTCCTTTACTTTAATAAATGTTTCATGAAGAGAATTTGATTTAATTCTCTAGCAATCTTTTAAGTTTCTTAATTATTTTGGTTCTTCCCCCGTAGTAGATTTTATTTTGTGTTTAAAGAAGAAAGATATTAGCGGTCGAGAAAGTATTTTCAAGCAAATCTATGAATTGTCTGATGTCTCCTAGTTGTTCTTAAATCTATATTTAATATATTTTGTGTTAATCCATCAATTGGGCTCGCGGATAAATCCCTTTTTGAAAATGAGTCTTGTATTCTCAAAATTTAGTCTTTCTTTATGAATTTTCGCAACTTTTTTGCAAAATTTTAGCAAAAAAAATTGTCTGGCTCATGTTAACGGTTGAAAGGGCGGACAGACAGCTAGATAGCTAGTGAAATCAAATTCTCTTCATCAAACATTTATTAAAAGGAAATTATTTAGATGAAATAATAAAACTTTAAATATTGATCCATCAGAGCAGAGAATTCCATGAGTTCTTTTGAGCAATTAATTGTTGGTGCTATAAAACTCATGCAGTTATCACAAAATTTTGGCATTTCGCGAAAATATTTTCGCAAAATTTTTGCATTCCCATTTTCGTGAAAAATTTTTCGCGAAATGCAATTGAAAATGTCACTTCATTTATTTCTGCGAAAAAATGCAAAATTTTGCGAAAAAGTTTGCAAAATGATACTGAAAATTTCGCATTTTTTCGTATAACATTTGGTTCTCTGGAAACCCTAGTTAAGACCCGATTATAATCTTAACTGAAAAGACATAAACAGTTGATATAGAGGCTCCTTAAACTTTACTCCGAGAGAGTAATCATTCCCTGTTTTGATAAACAAGTTGAGAATTGTGTCCTAGTTGAGACATTAATCGTTTATGAGATCGCGCATAGTGGTAGTGGCGTTAGTGCACAGGATTGTAGCCGTGTGAATCGTGTCCTAGTTGAGACATTGATCAATTAATTGCAAGTGTCCGTGTTGACATTGATAGTGAACGAGATCGCGCCAAGTGGTAGTAATGTTGATAGTTCACGAGATTGTAGCCGTGTGTTGACATTGATAGTCAAGAGAATCTGAGCTGTACCTGGATATGATACCATCTGGTCTGGAAACAGATGCATTAGAGAGGTGTATTTAACACGTGATATCTCGACACCAGTTAACACCAGATAATTTGGGGTCGGACACTAGTGTGTTTACTGGGTAGGTGGGGGAGGATGCAACAAAAGTACAGGATGAACCGAGAATTAACCAAATTGAGTTATTTATGTAAGAAAAATTAATAATATTTGTTTCATTATTACTTTGTTGTAGAAACGCAGTCTCAAGAGTATCATAAAAAAATAATTAATTTCTAGACATATGTTTGGAGAAAGTATAGTTGGGAAATGATGGGGATCCTGTAGGCTATAAAAAATAATAATATTTAAGGATACTTGAAAACATAAATCATAACAACTAAGGAAATGGTCATTAATGGAAACATTTCTTTAAAAGGTTTTGGATTTATTTCCGCCAAAACATTCGTGATATAACTATTAAGTGTTTCATAATATTTCCCACAACGTTTGGCAGTTTACTTCCCAACCCCCATTCCTCAATTTCCCCGACCTCCCCCTTGGATCCCTCCCTCAATCAACATCCCTCCCTCTCTGGAGTCTTTACGAAGTTTTATCAATAATGGTTAAGATCCCGGCTTAGTAATATCCCTTACATCTAGAAATATTATTTAGTTCAGTTCAGGGTTCAGTACAGTTCAGAGTTCAGTTCAGGGTTCAATGCAGTTTAGGGTTCATAGTTCAGTTTAAGGTTCACTTCAGTCCAGAGTTCCGTTCAGAGTTCAGTTCAGTTCAGGGTTCAGTTCAGTTCAGGATTCAGTTTAGTTCAGGGTTCAGTACAGTTCAGAGTTCAGTTCAGGGTTCAGTTCAGTTTAGGGTTCATAGTTAAGTTCAAGGTTCACTTCAGTCCAGAGTTCCGTTCAGAGTTCAGTTCAGTTCAGGGTTCAGTTCAGTTCAGGATTCAGTTTAGTTCAGGGTTCAGTTCAGTTCAGGGTTCAGTTCAGTTCAGGGTTCAGTTCAGTTCAGGGTTCAGTTCAGTTAAGGGCTCAGTTCATTTCAGGGTTTAGTTCAGAGTTTAGTTCAGTTCAGTGTTCAGTTCAGTTCAGTGTTTAGTTCAGTCCAGGGTTCAGTTTAGTCAAGAGTTTAGTTCAGTTCAGGGATCAGTTCAGTTCAGGGTTTAGATTCATTCAGAGTTCAGTTCAGTCCACAGTTCAGTTCAGTCCAGGGTTTATTATAGTTCAGAGTTCAGTTTAATTCAGAATTCATTTCAGACCAGAGTTCGGTCAATTCCAATACTCAGTTTAGTAGAGAGTTCAGTCTAAGGTTTTGTAGTGTCCAGGGTTTTGTTTAGTCCACAGCTAGTCAAGTTAAGTCCAGAGTTCAGTTAAGGTTTCTGTTCAGCTCATAGTTTAGTTCAGTCCAGAGTTCAATTCAGTTCAAAGTTCAGTTCAGATCTGTTCAGAGCTCAGATCTGTACAAAGTTAAGACAAGGATAAGGTTCAATTCATAGTACAGTTGAGTCCACATCAGTTCAGACCAAAGTTCATTCTAGTACAGGATTCAGTAAGGTTCAGAGTTCATTGTTCTGTTCAGAGTTCAGTAAAGGGTTCAGTTCAGTCCGGAGTTCATTCCAGTAGTGTTAAGATTTTAGCTCAGTTCAGAGTTCGGTTCTGTTCAGAATTTAGTTCTGTTCAGAGTTCAGTTCTGTTCAGAGTTCAGTTGTGTTCAGAGTTCAGTTCTGTTCAGAGTTCAGTTCTGTTCAGAGTTCATTCAGTACAGAATTCAGTTCAGTACATAATTCAGTTAGGTTCAGAGTTCAGTATAGTCCAGAATTCAGTCCAAAGTTTAGTTCAGTTCAGAGTTAAGTTTTTAGTTTAGTCAGGTCAGTCAAGATCAGTTCCAGTTTCATTCAATTAAGTCTATTTTTGTCCATTCGTCCATTAATGTCACGTCCATCCTTGAGGAAAATAAATGAAAATGTGTTTAACTTTAAGATAGAATGGATAGAGGTGCGGGGTCAAACGAAGATTTTTCTTGTTTAAATACTGAACAACAATCTTCAGGATACAGTGGAATATATAGGAGGGATACAGAGGTATATAAGATACAGTGGAATATATAGGAGGGATACAGAGGTATATAAAGATTCAGTGGAATTTACAGGAGGAATACATAGGTATATAAATATAGAATACAGTGGAATAGGAGGGATACAGAGGTATATAAATATAGAATACAGTGGAATAGGAGGGATACAGAGCTATATATAGATACAGTGGAATTTATAGGAGGGATATGCAGAGGTATATAAAGATACAGTGGAATATAAAGGAAGGATACAGAAGTATATAAGGATACAGTGGAGTATATTGGAGGGATACAGAGGTATTTTATTACAGAATACAGTGGAATAAATAGTGGGGATACGGATCACATAGATCCAGACTCTCCAGTTGCAAAATTATAAAAAGCTGCAGATCAACTTTGAAGTGTCGCAACACCTTGGCCTTTTATTTGACCTCACTAAGTCACTTATACTTTTTTGTAGTCCTGGGCATGGACCTCTTTGAAGTATAGGGTGAGTCAAAAAAGGGTGGAAAGCGAAATCTTGCATATAATAAAGCAGTTTTTTGGTAATCTCATTTTTAACAAATTTGTATGAAATTTAAAAAAAATTGATAGGCAACCTGATAGACCTTTACAAAAAAATCCGCGAAACTATTTTTTACTCAAAATTAAATCAAATCAAATCAAATCAAATCTTTTATTAGGCCACAAATTATACAATGTACATACATATAAATGCTAATTGAAAATAACAGAAATTAAGAGTATACAATTAGATGAGTAGAAAAGCAAAAGTGTGGGAATATGTTATTTCTATCACACCTTAAAATCTTAAACAAATCAAATGAGTAGTTTTGGAGAAAATGCGCCTAATTAAATTCAGAAAACATATTTTAATAATACATTTTTGTATTCGTATTTTCCTAATATTAAAGTTTAGATATTTTACCTATTTAAAATTCCACATTATAAAAAGAACTTAAAAAGAATAATTATCATTAAAATGATTTGAAAGAAAAATAAAATTGCGGATTTTCTCAATCAAATTTTGCGCATTTTCTCCGAAACTACTAATCTGATTTGTTTAAGATTTTAAAGTGTGATAGAAAATAATATATGCCCACATTTTTGTTTTTCTTCGCATTTAGTTTTGAGTAAAAAATAGTTTTGCAGATTTTTTTAAAGGATCTATCAGATTGCTTATCAACATTTTTTTGAAATTTTATAAATATTTTTTGTTAAAAATGAGATTACCAAAAAAATGCTTTATTTTATGCCAGATCTCCCTTTTTTTCTCACCCAATTTGTTTCATAACAGCTTGCAACCTTTAGATCTGCACTGTACTAGAGGCATACATATGAATATGAATACATATATCTATATATAAAGTTGTAATCTCTGTTTGTCTGTTTGTTTGTCCGATCATAAAGCAGGAACCCCTGGACCGATTTGCCTCAAATTTTGATTGGTGAACTCGGGAGACCCACGATTTTGTTCTTAGCATGGATAAACGGCGGGGATAACTTTTAGTAAACTGAGCAGGCTTGGTTCCCAAAGCTAGTATATATATACATATAAAAGATAGTTGAAGGATAAAGAAGTAGTAAAAAATACATATGTTTAATGTTTATCAAATACAAACTTACACCACAGATGCACACAGAACAGGATTCTCTTTGACTGTGAACTGAGAAGTATGGTATAAAGGGGGAATCCCAAATAAAGATGATTTTTTCCCACAATGAAAATGTTTCAGGTTTTCATGTGAAAATATGCGACAAGAAGTAAAACAAGGTTCAATGTTTTTTATGAGATTATAATTGATTTGAAAACACCCCTTTATGTGGAAAATTCCTATCCCAACATAAAATAAGCAATGTTTACAATGAACCGCAGAGAAACAACTCTTTTAGCCGCGGGACATGCTTCTTAGCCGCACCCACATATAGTTTGATTTAGGTTTAAAGGGACTATAAGCGAAATTTCAAGTATCCTTCCATGCACAGATGACAATGCCTGATTCACGACGGTACCCTTAAAAGTCTAACCTGATCAAGTAGGAATTGTACATCAATGTTCATTTTAGAAAAATGATCATTTTCAATTGTGGTTTTACTACAAAGGTGACTTGCACGAAAACATGACAATTAACTGAATTAAACGCTTTTAAACCCATTGTCCATGCATTATTGATCAGAGAAAGGTTTGCAGGGTACCGTTGTAAATCTGACATTTCCATTTTTGCATGGTGGGTCACTTGAAATTACGCTTACAGTATCTAAAAGGGAGTGACGAGCAAAGTAAGTTACTTGAAGTGAGAGTGCAGCGTTATAGAATAGAATATTAGGCTTCATTTAATACCAATAAAAACAAATAATAGTAAATAATAATAATGATTTTAGTTGAATGTCCGTTGGCCTAGTGAATGCCAAGTATTAAATGAACGAATACGACATATAAGAAGCCTCCCTTCTTCGCCAGAGATCTTCTACGAAAACACAGGTAAAGACAACCATTTTTTAAGATAAAAGGGACTGCATGCGAGTATTTTAAGATGAAAGGGACTGCATGCGAGTAAATAAGATGAAAGGGACTGTATGAGCGTATTTTAAGATCAAAGGAACTGCATTACCGTATTTTAAGATTAAAGGGGCTGCATGAGTGTATTTTAAGATGAAAGGGACTGCATGAGCGTATTTTAAATTTAAAGGGACTGCATTACCACATTTTAAGATGAAAGGGACTGCATGAGCTTATTTTAGGATTAAAGAGACTGTATGAGCTTATTTTAAGATTAAAGGGACTGAATGATCGTATTTTAGATTGAAAGGGACTGCATTACCATATTTTAAGATTAAAGGGACTGCATTGCCGTATTTTAAGATTAAAGGGGCTGCATGAGTGTATTTTAAGATTAAAGGGACTGCATGAGCGTATTTTAAGATTGGGACTGCATGATCTTATTTTAGATTGAAAGGGACTGCATTACCATATTTTAAGATGAAAGGGACTGCATTGCCGTATTTTAAGATTAAAGGGGCTGCATGAGTGTATTTTAAGATTAAGGAACTGCATGAGCGTATTTTAAGATTAAAATGACTGCATGAGCTTATTTTAAGATTAAAGGGACTGTATGAGCTTATTTTAAGATTAAAGGGACTGCATGAGCGTATTTTAAGATTAAAGAGACTGTATGAGCTTATTTTAAGATTAAAGGGACTGCATGAGCTTATTTTAAGATTTAAAGGACTATATGAGCTTATTTTAAGATTAAAGGGACTACATGAGCTTATTTTAAGATTTAAGGGACTGTATGAGCGTATTTTTAGATTAAAGGGACTGCATGAGCGTATTTTAAGATTAAAGGGACTGCATGAGCGTATTTTAAGATTAAAAGGACTGTGTGAGCTTATTTTAAGATGAAAGGGACTGCATGAGCTTATTTTAAGATTAAAGGGACTGCATGAGCGTATTTTAAGATTAAAGGGACTGTATGAGCTTATTTTAAGATTAAAGGGACTGCATGAGCTTATTTTAAGATTTAAAGGACTATATGAGCTTATTTTAAGATTAAAGGGACTGCATGAGCTTATTTTAAGGTTAAAGGGACTGCAAGATCGTATTTTAAGATTAAAGGGACTGCAAGATCGTATTCTAAGATTAAAGGGACTGTATGAGCGTATTTTAAGATTAAAGGGACTGCATGAGCGTATTTTAAGATTAAAGGGACTGTATGATCGTATTTTAAGATTAAAGGCAATGCCTGATCCCAATGGGGCACTTGAAACCTTTATCTAATCAATAATGTGGAAAATACTGATAATTCATTATATAACCCTTAACTTCTTTTTTTCGTTTCATTAAGAATATCATTGACGACTTTTTTAAGGTTTCCAGAAAACTAGATTTCAGATAATTTTTCCATAGATTTGCCTGTCGTCATTATAAAATCTCATGTTATGTCGTTAACCCTTTATATAATAACTGGAGCTGTGCTCGTGCTATATATGGTTTAGCTAAACTGAACAACGCCATGAGTCCTAACTGGATTTATACAGGGTTTTGGTTAGCGGTACCATCCAGTGATTATATAACTTTACCCCCCCCCCTCCCCTTATTTAACTCTCTTTTGCATCTTTGATTTCAATTTATGCAAAAACCTGATTTTCGTATTGCAACAGCTATGCCTTGCGTTGTAGTTGTAACGTTGGATATTTTTAGTTTAACAAGCCCCGCGCCGCGCCGGAGGGATACAAAAAAGTTATTAAAAACCACATCTATGGTGCAACAAAGGGGGGTAGGGGAGATTACAAAAGAAAGTAAAGGGCGGCGCCTTCTTCCATCAGAGAAAATTTTATAAAAACATGATATTTTCTTGAAATTAATGTCGAATGATTATAAATTTTAAGTTTTCATTCTAAAAATAATATAATGTCCATCACTTAAAGGCATCCAAATCACCCAAAGTGACATTCATATTGCTAACAATATAAATTTTTTGTATGATTTCAATTATAGGAATAGGTATGCGCAGCAAAGCAATTCTATAAATCGTGTAAATACGTCTGTTCCTTCAACAAACAACAAAAACTGTATCCTAATGAATTAAGAAAGTAAACGTAAAATTAACGAAATTCGTCAGTCTGCTCTGTTCAATAATTGTTCATTTACCAATCAAATTATATATTTGTTTCTTGAACACAATTAATTTTTGTATAACTTTCCGTAATGTTCATATCAAAAGACAAAATGCATTCCTACAAAATTGTTATTTGTTTACTAAGTAAAAGAGACTAAATAAACAAAACAAAGCATAAACATCACAAAGCAGGAAGGATAAAAAAATACCAAAACGTTGCAAATGAAATTAACTTCAAAAATATTTGCCAGGTTTTTATTTTTTTTTATTTTCCAATAGATAAAACTACACAGACAAAAACAAGATGACTAACTGAATACATATATTCGTAGCCCCCCCCCCCCGTACAATTTTTGGTCTGTAAATCACCTTTATGCAGTTTAGGCAAAGAAATTGTTTTCAAAAAATTTTAGCATAGCATCAAATTATTTTTATTCAATTCCGTGGACGGTCCATTTCTAAAAACATTAAATTCTCAATGCAAAATGCAGTTTTTATCTTAATAAATCCATGTTGCATTTTTTGAAATTACTGCAAAGTTATGCAAAAGTAAGATTGTTGGATGCGTTGGTTTTAAATAATGATTATCCAAATTCAATTATTCTCATCCATGCGAAACAAACTATATAAGTGAACTACCAAACATATGAGTAAATTCAAACTTAGAAGAACTCACAATTTTCTGGGCAAACTAAATATCTATAAGACGTATATTGTAACCATCCCCCCCCCTCCCTGCTGAGGATGGGTATAGAGCATGGAAAATTCTTCAGAACAAACCAACCCAAACCTGGCCCCCTCCCCCTGCTCCAGCCGCCTTATCTAGTGTTGCCACCCTACAGGGATTGACCAGCCAGAATTAAGAATTGGCGGGATCTGGGTTCAGAACACAGAGAGGGAGAGAGAAAGAAGCCAGTTGTGCGCCAGCTCTCACAAGGAGAGGATGAAGACATTCGCCAACTCCCCACAGTGGTAAGAAGCAGTCAGTCCAAAGGAATAGAAAATGCTTGGACGGATTGGAGCTGTGGGAAAACAACATGCTGAAGGAGATTTGTTACCAGAACAAGGATGGTGCCAGAAGAGATATGTTGCCTGAGGGGATAATTGGCCTGAGGAGATATGTTGCCTGAGGAGATACGGAGCCCTGAGGAGATACCATGTTGAAGGTATCTAGCCAAGGAGTATCTAGCCAAAGGAGGTATCTAGCCAAAGGAGTATCCAGCCAAGGAGTATCCGGCCAAAGGAGTAACCCATCACTGAGTGCCAAATCTGTGTTTTTTGACTTTAGTTATTTATTCCTTAATTTTGTTTCTCTTTAATATAAATGTTCAACTACTTTGTTCTATTATTGGTGTGTGACTTGAAGACTACTAGAATATTGTTACCCACCTTTGTGGGTATCCTTTCAAATATAACAATATAGTTATCAAATTTTAATTTTTCAAAAAAAGGGAAAAAGGAATTTTAAATACTGTTCTTACTCGAAGCTAAGTGGATGATCCTGTCCAAATCTCTTACTCCTTATTTAATATAATAGTTTCCTTTACGTTATATATTTTAAAAATAAGTGCAAGGAAAAGAATAAAAATATAAGTCACCAAGTATAATATATAATAATATATAATATAAGTATAATACATACGTATAGACTTAAACACAATAGGTTATATTCCGAACAACTTTACTATAAAGAGGGAGTGAGGCTCAATTAAAAAGGGGGAAATTATCTAACTCAAGTTAAGGGTTACGCAAAATAATACCTAGAGCAGCAAAAAGAAGGTCCCCTGGGAAAGGTATCGCACTCCTCCCTGAAGGGAGGGAAGGGGCCTTTTATACTTTTTGAAAAGGGGGGAAAAAGGGTATTTGCGCAACCAAAAAAAGGGAGGGGAGGGTTGCGTTGGTAGGAACAAAAAGGTTTGAAAATGGGGGAACATCAATTAAGGGTAGAGACATAGGGGGGTGGGAGGCCTACGTGGGCCTATGTATAATTAGGGTAATCAGGCAGGGGGATGACAATTTGTGTACCACTAGGCCTGACAGGATAAGGCCTAGCTACGCTATAAAAAAGGAGGGGGGGAATCGATAAGAGTAAAAAGAGAAGGGAAGCCTGCACCTGCAGAGATCTAATTATGGTAATTACAGGCATCGAAAGTTCTAGATCTCCGATAGACTAAACTAATTATCTTCTCTCTCAGCAAGCATAAGTTTTTTATACATCACATCACCACAGATTGTTGATGTTTATGTCCTCGTCTTCGGAAGAGGAGATGTCTATGATTATTCCTTCATCCGAAAACTCATCTTCAAACTCTCAAAATCCTCGGCATCTTCTGAATCTTCATGGAGAGCATTTAACTCCGAGTCGGGGGTGCATGTACAGTAATCCTGAAACAAGTAACCATTATGGTAGAAATACATACAGTTATGTACAACTATTTTTACAATGTTGTGCAAATACTAAAAACATTCCACGTAATTTGTGTACTTCCTTGCACTCGAAATGTGTGCTTAATCCCGCGCAAATAAAGGGATTTTCTCGAACAAATAATATACAGTTAATCGCAAAATTGCGCATTTATGAGCTGCTTATGGTCCAACAAAGGCCCTAAGCTTGCATCATAAATATGCCTAAGCAGTCATAGGTTTTGATCTGTCATTCAAAAGCCATAAAATATGTAATTTTTTACTTTTAATATAAATACACCGAGCCGAAATAGTAAAAATAAATTAAACGAACACTTTATCTTTTTTCAAAAAACTTTGTATGTCGTAAAACAAAATCTTAATAAATATTTAGGACGGGAACCTCAACCCCGACCAATAGGAGAAGAGCATGGAACCTTGGTCTACCATTATAAACCAAACAGGTTTTTGTTTTGTTTTTGTTAACTGAGAGCATTTTTGTTGGATAAACTATCTGACAGGGGTTATCCACTATCCAAGCAGTTTTTAATGCCCCTAGTTTTCAGATCCACCGTGTTAACCTTTTGGAGAAAATATTAACCTTTTTAACATGTATAAATGATTGAGATATATTTGTTTTTCTCTCAATGATTTTGGTATTCTCGGGCAAAGACTAAATGCAGTTGTCGGTGTAATTATATCAATACAATGAAGACTACTTTCTATTAAGGGTTTGATTTCTATTAAGCTGTTTTTCAAAATACAACTTTACTTTTAAAAAATGAAATAAAAAGATATTCTTATTGTATATGATATAAACGACAATATGAAGTGGGGTGGGGGTAGAGCGTTTTTATGGGGTAGGGTAGGGAGTGTGTGACACCAGTTCTCGTTAGCTCACTGAAGTAAACTTGTCCCCATCCAGTAATTGGATTAGTGTCCAGACTGGTGTTCATGGGTTCGATTCTCGTACTCCACTCAAACCTGTGTTTTTAAAAATATCTGGAGCAGACATCTGGTTAAGCAGTTATGACCACCTGACGGATGTAGGAGGACAGAGGGGCGGCTGTCAACAACTCTCGCAGCGAAAGGGTGCGTGCTTTCTACTCAACAAGAAAGAAACTTTAATTGATCCAATTAAATGATGATCAAGAGAGGAAAGGTGTACAAGCAGGGAGAGTCTATGGATGCTATGGGTAACTGGAGGTATCCAATCCGGGCTTACCAATGATTGGTAGCAATGAGTGTGATGTTTCCTGTCTGTAAGGCACCCGGGCCTTATTCCAGTATATCAGAAGAATTACTGCACTCAGGCCCATGAAGCCCTTTATAGGCATCTGGAATCTTGTCAACCATCTTCTCAGTATAAATGAAACGTGGATGCATGTGCTGCCAGATTACAACCCCTGGTAGATAAAAATAAAACCAAACAACACCTAACTTACCCAATAGAAAAATTCCAAGATTTGATCGTAACAACCCGATTATGTCCTGGGTACAAAAAATCTCTTTATTTGATATATATACGACAAGGACTGTAGAAAATAGCTTTTCCTGTTTACGTTAAGTTTAAACAAAAGTCATTTGTTAAAATGTTGACTCAAAATCTGATATTGTTTAAAAATTTTGCTCAGTCGAAAAAGTACAGGGTGTCCCAAAAAAACTTTGCTGTCTCTGTATTGGGTGGAAACAGTTTTTATGTTACAATAACTTTTTCGAGCTTTATATGTGACACCTTAATTGTGAAAATTGAAGGAAAATTTTCCCTAATGGCAACCAAGACTAAAACCACAATTGCATTTTTTTTGGATGCCAAAAAAACCATGTTTACTTTTTTGGATGCCAAAAAAAACTATGTTTACTTAATGTTTGTACTTTTTATCTAAATGCAGGGAACATTAGATATTGGAATTGCGTGCCGGGTCCCGCAGCTATATTTTATTGAATTATAAAAATTCTAGCTTTTAAGATATCGGGAAAAAGAAGGAAAAAGTTGTTAAAGGTCAAGAGTATTTTTTTCGAAATAAAAAAAAAATCTCTCTGCCTTTGAACTCTTTGCTCTGCAGTCAGTCTTCGTCACCAGCAATTCTAAAGTAACAATTCCAGTTTTCGTCACTAGCAATTCTGAAATAACGATTCCAGTTTTTGTCACTAGCAATTCTAAAATAACCATTCCAGTTTTCGTCACTAGCAATTCTGAAATAACGATTCCAGTTTTCGTCACTAGCAATTCTAAAATAACCATTCCATTTTTACAAATAACATTCTATTTTTTAGTCCCACTGTAAATTTTTAAATTAAAACAGTTAAGATAAATTAAAATTGCAAAACCAATTTTTTTTAAATTGTTACAGTATCAGGTTTATTTTTCCTTCAAATTTAAATTAACTAAATCAAAAACAGTATTTAACATTTTTATCAAAAAACTTGTTATTTTAATTTATTTCAGCCAAGGAAACTTCTTCTCAAGATCGAGCTCAGGAAAACCAAACAAAACTATTTCAATCTATAAAATGATTCTCTTCGCTCATATATATATGTGTGTATTAGCTATGGCTGACTAAACGGCTGGACCAAATGGGCTGGATTATTCGGTGAGGAAACCCATGTGCTATACATAGGCTAAACAAATTTCGATTTTTTTTTCTTTCAAAAATAATTTTTTTTTTCAAAAATCGAAATTTTGTTTCGAATTAAAAAAAAAATCCAAGGGCAACGCCGGTTACTTGAGCTAGTTACACATATTGAAATTGTCATTAAACTTGACATGTAACTTATGATGTTATGTTTGCGAATTTCGCGTCACCAAAATGCAAAAAACGTAACTTTCTTAATAAGATGTTCTAAAATTTAAACAAATAGATTTTGTCCCTAGTAAATAATGGCTAATCCTTGATGTCCCGCCTGGTTTGTACCTAGTAAATAATCCTTGATGTCCCGCCTGGTTTGTCCCTAGTAAATAATGGCTAATCCTCAATGTCCCGCCTGGTTTGTCCCTTGTAAATAATCCTTGATGTCCCGCCTGGTTGGTCCCTTGTAAATAATCCTTGATGTCCCGCCTGGTTTGTCCCTATAGAGAGTTATAATTTCAGACTTTTCATCATTTTAATTAATATCCTAAAATTATCAGTAAGACAAACAGTTTGTTAGTAATAGCAATTAAAAGTTAAAAATAGATATAAACAACCTTTCCAACTTCTCCGTATCCAAGAAATATATAGACAATGTTCAGAATATTTTGGTTTACTTTCAATATTTGGTTTGGTTTAGTTTAAATATTTTGTTTTGATTTCAATATATGGTTTGGCTTGGTTGAATACTTGGTTTGATTTGAATTTTTGGATTAATCCAAAAATTTGGTTTTGTTTTGTTTGAATACTTACAAATTCAAATATTTGGTTTGGTTAAAATATCTGGTTTGGTTTGGAGTAGGAGGATGCCCAACCGAGGATATTCTTCAGGTTGTAGAAGATAAGACCCTCATCTTTGAGAGCAGGTTTCAAAGAATTTTTTTTACCAAATTTTTTCTTTACGACTTTAATTTTTAAATAATAAAACTTAATATGGGAAATATTTCCAAAGTTAAGCTTTGTCCATGTCTTTGCCATTTTTTCCGGAAATTTTAAAATGCGTATTTTGTTTAACTTTTTTAATCCATTTTAAACCCAAAATTTTAAGATATTTTTTAATTAAAAAAATTAAGTTATACAATAAAAATAAAAGAAATCATTTGTTTTTTTCAATGATTTGTTATTTTTGTTAGGTTTGAGAGTGGAAATCTCGAAAAGGCGATAAAAATAACAGATACATACTATGAACTTTATTTAAGGAACCATGCTGTTTAAATAACTTAAAGAGACTGTTAACGATTGGCATTTCCAATTCACAACGGTAACCTTTGAACCTTAGCTTGAGCAACAACTATGAAGATGTCGTCTTCTGTCTGTTGAAAACTGTTGAATTCTGTCAAATTCCATCTTTTCTTCTGATGTACGTGTAAATTCAAAGATATGACCGCCACACAAGAATGTCATACATCATGTTTGCTCAGAATAAGCTAGGTTTCAAGGTTCCCTTCTGAATCGGACAAGGCACGTGGATTTAATTGTTCTGTTCTTATTCCAGGACTTTCGATCAAAATTTGACCTAGATTCAACATAAATATTTCGCCTTTTTCTTAAATACTTTGTTGTGGGAATTTGCGTTTTGAATCAAAAACAGACATCTCCTAAATTTTAAACAAGGTTGAATTATAAACCAAAAAGCGTTTGATTCAGAGGCGCAACTAGGGGGGGGGCGGCCTGGCGCGCGCTCTCCCCTAGCACCTGAGAGGGGGGGGCCCCCCCCTGCAGAATGAAAAGAAAGAAAGAATGGCGAAAATCAGTATCACAGGAATAAGAAAACCAATAGAGTTATTGTAGAAATTTTATTATACTAAAGTTAGTTTTAAAAATAAATAATATATTGCCCCCCCCCCCTAGCAAAAGTCCTAGTTGCGCCTCTGGTTTGATTTGAAATAGAGGAAACCGAATGCATCTTATTCTGGTTAGTCCGGGCCCCAGGGTGAAGGGGAAATTACATTAAATTATTAGTTAACGCAAACCTGTGAAGATGACAATTTATTAAACCTGTAATTATTTATTGCATGGATGCGGTTTAGAAATGACCTGTACACTTCAAGACACTGCCAGTGGTTCTACTTTCAAATTAAGGAATCGGAAATATAAAAAAAAAAATTTAAAAACGAGTGCATCACATGCAACCATTTTTGTACATCATGAAGCTAAAATTAATGTCTCATATTATTAAGATGTTTTGATTGTTGGATTTCAAATATTAAATTTGATTTCAGAGATATATTTTTTGGAGGCAAAACTTTATAATTTTGACTGTTCATGAACATTATTCATAATCTTTGGAGTTCCACAAAAAGTTTTGGACATTTATATGTCGACACAAACACAGACAAGAAGATTAATTTTATTTTTTAGACAGAAACCAATCTTGGCGTATTCCCCTGTAAACCAAACTAATCGTATAAAATTGTTCCAAGTGTAAAGGGGAATATTAAGATCTGAAGGCTTGTGTGATTTGATCAAAGCAATTGAGAACAAAATTATTCCCCTATAATGATTTATTAATCGCTCCCCGATTTCCGGCTGTTATAGTTTTTGATGAAAATAAAAATACTATTTTACCCTATCTCGGATGAGGTACTTTAAACCTTGTATCCTGTAGAGGAGGGGGGGGGGGTTCATCCCTTCCCCTTCGTGCAACACGATTATGACTAAATGATTCAGAGAATGATTCAGAGAAGATCGAAGATAAAAATCTACCACCATTTTTTTAAGTTTTTTAAAGAAAATAATGAATAAAATATACATTCAAATAGACACCTGATATATTTTAAGGATGTACTTAGCGCTAAACGATTAAAATACTATTCATTCACCAGAAACCCTGTTATCAAGAATCCGTAATTGGTAAAATAATTAAACCTTAACATATAATAAAATGCATATTTAATTAACTGTACAACGATATTAAAGAAATCATAGTAATATTGCACAATCTGCATAAAAACAAAAAATTAAAGAAATCATCAAAAATCCGCATATCCATAATATTTAGTTTGTTACAAAAGCAAGTCCGGAACAATTTTATATGTAGTTATGACACCTTATTTTACTATTTTTTACATTTTTGTATTCAACACTTCTTGCTCCGTCCTGCATGACATCAACGCTATGCAGCGCTACTGTCATAAAAATAATTACTACGTTTCTTTAAAAAATTATATTTTCGCAGAATATGAAAACTGATGTAAAATACCGGTTTTCAATTGTAAACTTTACGAAGCCTGACTCCCTGTACACGTGTGGCATGAAACCGGTTCTTTATTCTAAAATAGAGGCGGACCGCCATTTTGTCAGCTGGACACGTGTTGGTGACCTCATAAGATATTACAGGTTATTTCTTATTTTAACAGAAGCTAGAACTCTAGAGCTGAAAACTTTAGAATGGTGGATGTCGAGATCAATGCTTGATCTCCTCTTTTTCTTAATATCCAGATTAAATAATGCTTGTTCTCCTCTTGTTATTAATCTCCAGATTAATCAATCGATCGGGATTAAGGATATCCCATTCTAAAGTTTTCAGCTCAGGTCTCATCCCTTCTTATTTCTGATTTTACTGAAAACCTGCTTCTTCTTGAATAATCAAAAAAAAAAACATTAAAATAATTCATTCAGCCGACTTTTCCTTTTTATTGGTGAATTTAAATTTATTTAGAAAATACTCACTTTTTAGAGTCACGTACTATCACTACTATTGGCAAATATTTCCAAACCCAACTTTTAGAAAGAAGTTCGAAACTTTTTCTAAAACTTTTATGGGTAAATTTTCAGAATAAAAAATTAGATTTTTTATAAAATTATATATATTTTTTGACTGGGCAACACTCCAACTTGATGGTCTGTATGTCCCTGAAAATAAATATGAATAGAAAATAATAGAGGAATAAAAACTTAAATTTGCCTTTGCAAATAAAACTGTAAGTCTTAAATTATTTAGTCTCACAGAACTCTAAGGTCTAGTGCATTAGGTTGCAAAGATAAGGGGATTAAAAAATAGAGTTTGTGGCAAAAACTGAATTCCTTTGTCCAGGAATGACTCAATGAATGATGATGAAGAGGATCCGAATACGTACACGCTGACCTTCACGCTCTCATTTCCTCATGAGAAGGATACAGTTTACTTAGCACACTGTTTCCCTTACAGGTAGTCCAGCGTCTGTCCTATTTTAAAGGGACTGTTTATTGTATAAAGCGTAGTTTTAAGTGACCCTTCATGCACAGAACAATCACAACGATACCTCTGAAACCTTTATCTGATCAATAATGCAGTTTTTCTTGGTTAAAAAGTGTTAATTTCTGATAATTCCTTTATGTTTTCCTGCAGTAGAAATGCACCATGTTACTTTTGTGGTAATTAGTGCTTTATCAGACGAAGATTTTAAGATGTGAATCGGGCATTGCCATCTTTGTATAAAGGGTCACTTGAAATTTTGCTGACATTCCCTTTAACCCTTCACTTTAAAACCAATAATACATACAAACATTGATAACAATTTTATATCCCTTTTAATTGACAGCTTGTCTTTGTTTACCTGTTAATTTGTCTCTGCTTGTACGAAATCTTAGTTGACATCAAAACTGATATAAATAGTCGTCTTTATTGTATTGTTATACACGACTACAACGCTACAATTTTCCTATTTTTGTTATTAATGTTTTGGGTTTACTTTCAAATAATAAAGTTTGTTGCACTTTGTTAAATATATTTTGTACAAAATCTAAACTTGACCGAGTTAAATCCGGTGTAACTTTGTCATGCAATTAGGAAAGTGTTTCCGGATACTGCTTTCAGATCCTTGAAACAGTACGTCACTCTTTCTTCTTACTAAATGGTTAAAATTATTTGTAAAATTGCTGAAGGACACTTAGAGCCAACTTTAATAACAATGACAATAATAATAGTAATTATTTAATCCCGCCGGGATATTTTTATTGAAAGATACTTTGAAAATCTACAAAGGCAAAAAAATTCCGCAAAATTCGCAAGCCCTCGGGTTTATCATTGATTCCCCTGGGGGGTTTAAATTTCTATTGATTCTAATTTGTCTGAGAGTAAATGATACATTGATTCTAATTTGTCTGAGAGTAAATGACAATTCTTTGTGAAAATTAATTTAATGCAAACATTCATATTAAATCGATTAAAAGTTGAATGAAAATTGTTGCATTTAAAAAAAAACAGCTTTTTATAAAGGAATTATAAACTTTCCTACTTCTAATAATAAGTTTTTTTTCTGATCCAGGTATTCAGATGTTCTAGAAGATTTACTTAATATTCAGGAAAACCTAATATAAAATTTTAAACATTTTAATGTTTTTTTTCTTTAAACATTGAAGATTCTTTTTATTTAATAAGCTGATTTTTAAGCTGTTGTTATTGGCAAAACTGTTTGCTTTATAAAAATATCAAATACACATGTCGTCTTCATATTTTACAGAATTATGGGTCCCGCTGTAAGTATCACAACAAAATCTTTCTTTCGTTTGATTTGAAAGGAGTTGAGTATTTTCCACAAACTCAAATTTTCTAATCCCTATATGTTTGAAACCTTATGGGGTAAACTTTTGATATTCAAAACTTAGTTTATTTGATCTAACAGTATTTATAAGGTCTACGACATTGGGTTGCATAGATATAGGGATAAGAAAATCAGAGTTTCCGGAAAAGTACTGAATCCTTTACTATAAATGCAAACTATATATTTCAGCGTACTTTTTTTGGAATCATTTTAAATTTTCTCCAGAAGGAAAAGCTTTAGCTCAAATATATATAAATATAAGTGCATAACAGAACGACGAGCTAAGATCTGTAGTGTGTGATCAGAAAGTATTATGTAAAACCCTTGCTGGTAATCCAGTCCATCTTCTTACTGTCACCAATCCAGCTTCAGAGGTTAGAATTTTAGTTCAGAAAAGGAACTGTAATCGTAATTTTAGGTCACCCTCCATGTAAAGACTTTATATAAACCTTTAAATTTTAATCTGAACAAAAAATGGAAGATGAGTAAGTCGTTTTTACCGACATAAAAAGAATACGCGCAAGTCACTTTTACAGAGAAGTCAGAAATGAAAAATAAAAATAAGCAGTTTCAATAAACAAAACATGGAAATATAATTCAAACAAAGCATTTAAATGGTACCATTGTAATTAGGGCATAGTCATCTTTGCATGGAGGGTCAATAAAAAATCAATTTATGCATGTACCAGTTTGATTTTTACCTGGCCCGATCTTAGATGATTCAAAGCCGTACTGTACATGAGTCTTATTTTGATATGACCTGAGCTTAATAAATCCTGTCATAAATATTATTTCTTTAGTCTTTTGGTTTGAAACATTTTCTTAAATATAAGTATATTCATGTTTATAAATTGGATTTTCTTCAACTATTTTTTTATGAATAAGGTTTTCATTAAGAAGGAAAAGAAATGAAAAAAACATTAAAATTAATCTTTTCATATCTTTATATTTTCCGTAAAAATGATTAATCTATAAAAAATACACATAAAAGGAAAAGAGAAGTAGATTTATATGAAAAACACGTCAAACTTTTTAGTGTTTTTAAACATAACTCCTTATATTGAATATACCTATTTAGAAGAACAAGATCTTTTTAGTGTTTTTAAACATAACTCCTTATATTGAATATACCTATTTAGAAGAACAAGATCTTTTTAGTGTTTTTAAACATAACTCCTTATATTGAATATACCTATTTAGAAGAACAAGATCTTTTTGAATTTCTAAATTCTTATATGTTACCGAAGAAATGTACTACCCAATCGCATACATTTATTTTAATTGTAAGCTACATGTAATCTCTTAGAAACAAATAAGCAACTAAATTACTGCACCATGGTTCTTATGAACACACCAATCTGCTTCAAAAAGGCAAAAAATATTGTCCATTTTATTTTATGAACATAAAATATTGTCCATATAACATTATAGAGTACATTACAGGTACATGTGTAAATACAGTGAGTGCTATAGAGTACATAACAGGTACATGTGTACTGGGGTGCTACAGTGTAATATAGAATGTATCACTGGTTTATGTGTACTGAGGTGCTTACACTGCAGGTGCATGCGTACTGGAGTGCTATTCATCGTACATAACAGGTACACGTGAGATGGAGTGCTATGCAGAGTACAGCACAGGTACATGTAACCTAGAGTGATATATAGAGTACATTACAGGTACATGTGTCCTCGACTTTAAGTGCTATATAGAGTACATTGCAGGTACAAGTGATCGGTACTACTACTGGGTTGCTATGTATGTATATATATAGGTTCATTTGTAATGTCTACAGGGTGCTAAAGAGTACATTACAAATACATGCTATTACTGTACAGGGGGTGCTAGTATAGAGAGAACATTACAGCTACATGTGTTTATAAAATACAATCTATTATAAGTGCACAGCACACGTCTGTTATGTAATACTGAAAGTCTTTCTGAAGCATTCACACAATTAGATTAAACTGTAAATATTCCATTTCATTCTTCATTCTAGTGTTAATCCTCCCGTTGCATTAATATGGCTTCTTTTGGAATAAATGAATAATGAATATGCATTCTTTTACTTCCTAGTTTCATCAAAACTGAAATTAAGCCTTTTTCATTGTATGAAAAGGATTTTTCATTTCTTTCAAAAAAGTGTCAATGTTTTCTAAATCGTGGTTACTGGTTAGTACTAACATATTTCGGACTAACAGTTCTTCTGAAGCAGTCACATGATATATTCAGCTCAGAACTTAAGTCACAGTCACATGATATATTCAGCTCAGAATTTAAGTCACAGTCACATGATATATTCAGCTCAGAACTCTTTCAAGTTCTTGGGAATTCGTGAACACCGTAATACGGAAAGATTTAAATTATAACAGACACTTTAATTTATTAAATTGCTTTTTTATACAAGGCACCAATTCTCTTTAATGAATTTAGTTTCAATGTATCAATGCATTACTCAACCTGTAAAAATTTTGCTGAATACATTACAAAACAAAAAATAAAAATTTGAAAGGTTAGCATATGTTTTTCATTTAACATTTTAACTTACGTGCAGTAATATTAAGTGACCCTACATAAAAAGAAGGAAATGACACAAGTTTCAATTCAACAAATAAAAATTTAAATTTTAAAAATTGAATTTTTTTGACATTTCTAAAACCATCATCCTTAAAGGCTACAATTGGTGGGTTACTTGAAATTACATTTACAGTTTCTTCTAAAATAAAATGTTCAAATCCAACATGACTCTTATTATAGGAAACTCTAAAACGGCCCATGAGCTACGGGAAAGGTTTGTTTTTAAGATAGTTCCTATGCTCAATCCAGATGGAGTTATAGTCGGAAACACAAGGAAACACACGAGTACAAAACTTAAACTTATAAAAATGCAATAGATTATTTTTAAAAAAGAAAATTTTAGAAAAATGAAAATTATCATTATAAAAACGTATCTTTTGACATTTTTGTATGTCAGAAGGGAAAATATTTATTCATTTTTAAGAAATAAAAAAATTATGTAAATGCTAATGCAATCATCAATAAAACAACAGCAAGAAAATACAATAGATTATCTGGAAAAAAGGCCTGTGAAGATACAAAAGTAAAAGTTATCATTATGAAAAAGTTTCTTTTAACATGTTTGTGCTGATGTGTTATGTAAAGATGTAATATGACTGGACGGGATCTAAATAGACAATATAAAAATGTCATGAAGGAAATTATTAATTCATTTTTTGTAAAAAAAAATGAAATCAATAGTAATAATAATAATCTTGACCAAGAAGTAAAATTATGTAAGTTTCTACCTACTGTCAAGGTCTGAAAATACAACAAAACGTTCTTCCTGTACTTTTATTCTTGAGTCTTTATTTACAAGGACTTGTAATACTCTACATTTAACAAAGGAAAACAACAAGAAAAAATTCTCAGACAGAGCCATGGAACTTTTATAAACTTATAATTAGAGGCCTATATAAGTCTAGTTATTTAAACAAATTTATAGATCAGAGGCCGAATTTAAAGAATTTGAGCCGCGGCTTAAATGTGAGACGCGGCTCAAATATGGTTGGTTCCACTTAAAATTGTATTCAATGTTGCAAGATTTAAGACGGTGCTCAATTGAAACCGATATTTGGCAGATTTGAGACGCGGCTCAAATACTTCAATTCGGACTTAGAATTAGTAATTAGAGGGTTCAATCAAACTTGTTCTTTTTCTAGGTTTTTAAGTTGATCACAATTTAAAGTTGTGTGTGAAAAGAATGCCTGATTTCTGATCATTTTTGTTTTAAAAACTGAATATTTTTCATTGGGGTTTCTAAATAAAGAAACTTTCCTCAGAAAAATATAACGGAAAAAAAAATAAAACACATTTTAAGTAAAAATAAACGTATATTTAGATAAATGTTGAAGGGTACAGATGCATTTACATTGAAATTCAATGTTTCTTAAAAATAAAAATGGATCAAAAGATAAGATTGTCCAAAAGTACTAAGAATATGAAATTAGATAAAAATTATGACCTGTGTCCCAATATGATGAATTTAAGCCGCGTCTCAAATCCCCCAAAAACCGGTTTCAGTTTGAGCGCCGGCTTAAATCTTGAAAATTAAATACAATTTAAGTGGAACCAACTATATTTAAGCCCCGGCTTAAATTAAAGCCGTGGTTCAAATTCTTTAAATTTGATCTCTGAAATTATTAATCAAATAATCTTATATTCTCAAAATTGGAATAAATATAGGTAAAAATAGATAATAATTTAATAGTTAAATAGTTCACTTTTGAAAATAAATTGGCTAATTGAAAAAATAGATTTATTCACTGAAATTATAAAAAATGAATTAAATGATTTTAGGAAGCTTTTCCACCCGTCTACCATGTTAAGGAAAGTAACTTGGCAATATTTTAGTTTTACGAAATTCTTTTGTTGTCCATGAAACGACATTTTTCTCCTTTTTAATGAGATTTTATAAAAGCGACAAATCATGATTTGTCATAAACAATTATGTTTTGTTAAATCAAACTTTATAAATGCACCAAAAACTTTAAATTATTAAGTTATTTCTACCAGGCAATAAATCTAAAAGGAAAACTTAAAAATAACAGAAAAAGTTAACAACAACTGAAAACAAACTAAAATCTCCTTTAAAGTTAAAAAAGAAAAGTTACTTGGTTTGAGTAGATGTTAATAAAAAAACTACTGGAGGAAGGAACTGTTGCAATGTACTGTGATTTTCATGCTCATTCTAGGAAACATTTGAAATAAAAAAATATGTTTTAACTTTTCCGATTAATCAATAAAATTTTTTTATTACTCTATTAATAAAAAATTCGATCGACTAAGGCATTCCTTACACTCGCCGCCCTTAAAACAAAGTGCATCCTGTCTGTATCGAAATTTTTTCAATCATATTTAAATACGACACGAAACATGACAGTTGGTGAATAGTTTAAATGTCTTCTTCCATAATATGTCAAGTTGTTTGTTGCCAAACAGAATAATAATAAATATTTTATGTTATCCATATTAAAGTAAAGTTGATTTCTAAGTAAAATATATAATTGAGTAAAGTTTTTTTTAAGCTAAATAAACTGCAAAAATTGTCTTTAATATCTAATACAGCATATGGAAGACGACATTTAAAACTATTTACCAACTGTCGTGTTTCGTGGGACATCCTGTATCTGATTCTAATCCTATCAAAAAGAGCGCGCAAGACCTTAACAAACTATAAGAAAGCAAATACGATGTATATCACATTTAATAAAATGGGCGCTAAAGTTTAGTCTCACTGAACCTCAAGATTACCGCGGTCACAAACTAAGGGATTAAAAAAATCACGTTTGTAAAAAGAGATAAAGTTATACTGTCCTTTGTTTAACAAATGTTACACCATATGTACATATGTACAATGTACATATACTGTATTATATATGTATATAATTATAAGAGAAATCATGCACATACGCAAGAAATCTTTCCCATAAAGAACCTGAGACGAGACGGTTAATTACAGAAATTTTCGAAATTCTTACAGTGAAACCCTTAATAACGAATACATCGAAAGAATTCGTCAAATGTCGTATTCTTCACTTTCTGATAATGGAATGTTGCAGATATTTAGTTTTTAATTAAATGATTATATGGAACTCTTAAAACTGTTCCCACATATTCATGGCTATTTATTTATTTGCACAAATACTAAAATTTAAGTAATATATAGTATAAAACTCATTGAAAAATTGTCAAGACGACATTTGGTAAATTCTTCCGATGTATTCGTTATTAAGGGTTTCACTGTATTTCGCGGATTTGTTTCCTTTTGGTTCAGAACATGCATTGAAAGATGTTTATTCATTACTGTTACAAAAGTTAAAAAAGTTACAAAATGTTATTCGGTGTCAGGAAATTCAACATATTTATGTACGGCTGTGAAAATAGGAGACACAGTGAAAAATATTTACGGGTAATCATGAATATGAAAAATCTCCTCCATTTAAAGATACATATATATACGATAAGAAACAGATTCAGTCACATTGTGATGGCGTAGAACTGTTTAGATATAGGGTCACATAAATTTTCCTTGATAGTCCTAATTTTCATTTCTTTTGAAAAAATTATCTGTCAAAGATAAATGAATTACAAAAAAAGTTCTATTTTCAGGAGCAAATATTTCCGCTGATGCTTCACAAGAACGCGGCAAACAAGTTTAGGTATGCGCACTGTCTGAAATGTCGTCTTTGTTTTTCCTCGTGAAACAATTTAAATAGAATAATACTACTTTTAAAAAACGAGTGTGGAATTTATGGTGACTTTTTTTACTCAAGTTGTCATTTTAAAAACACAGAAATTTTGCAGTTTATTTTTGTTTTGCCCTGAAAGACTGAAAGTGTAAAAAAGTTGATACATGAACGAATAAGAAATATATATACATATTTACATTTTAAAGGATTTTATTTTTAGTTTTGAGGATTGCAAGTTTACCGTTCAAAGATCTAAAGAGTCAACTGGTAAACTATTTAAAGTTTTGGAAAATATGCATTTCATCTTTCATTCATCCGATCTTCATGGCATTCATTAATTTTTCATTCATCCTACCTTGGTGGCAATCATTCATTCTTCCCTGTACTAAGATAGATTTATTGATTTATTTAAGCATTCATTTCTTCAATCATCCTTTCATTCATAGATTTATTAATTCAATCAAGCATTCATTTCTTCAATCATCCTTTCATTCATAGATTTATTGATTCATTCAAGCATTCATTTCTTCAATCATCCTTTCATTCATAGATTTATTGATTCATTCAAGCATTCATTTCTTCAATCATCCTTTCATTCATAGATTTATTAATTCATTCAAGAATTCATGTCCTCAATAATCCTTTCATTCATAGATTTATTAATTTATTCAAGCATTCATTTCTTCAATAATCCTTTCATTCATTGATTTATTAATTCACTCAAGCATTCATTTCTTCAACCATCCTTTCATTCATTGATTTATTAATTCAATCATTCATTTCTTCAATCATCCTTTCATTCATAGATTTATTAATTTATTCAAGCATTCATTTCTTCAATCATCCTTTCATTCATAGATTTATTAATTTATTCAAGCATTCATTTCTTCAATCATCCTTCCATTCAAAGATTTATTAATTTATTGTGAATATATTTTTGTTTAGGACGAGTAGTATTCTGGAATATGGGGATTACAAATTCTTTTACACTTGAGGCATCTTACGGAGGATCTAATATGGGTAAAATTTTGATTTTAAAAATGGTTCGTTTTTTAAAACATATTCTCTTAACATTGTTCTCTATTTACGATAAATGGATATGTTGACAGAATATTTCTTCTTTCAGATTGGTTTAGGTTTTTTATTAGAGCCACAAACTCTTAAACTTAGTTTGAAATATAAAATGGCTGCAAAGATATGTGGATAAGAACTTTTCAAATAATGGTAAAGATACGATTCCTTTATTAAAAGTGTTGCCAGAAAATTGTACTTTTGGAACAATCTCAAGCATCCATTATATTTAAAAACTTGGGTAAACATAATACATGTGTACTAGTGGTGAAGAAGTGTTTTATTTAGTTGTTGGAGTTTTTTGTCATTTTAAAACGAGGTTACTAAAACGAGGTTATACCTACAAAGGATGGACTACAGAGACGACTGTACGGCAAAATTCTGTCTGTTTCCTGATTCTTCGGAACTGTAATTTTTTTTTTTTTTTTCTTTGCAAAATCATGAATAAATCATAAAAAGACATTTTTAAATGCAGAAGAGTAAATTTAAACTTTGATTTGAATCGTCATTTTTAAAGAGATTCAGGTCGTCTTTACTGTCTCATCCTTTGTGGGTAACCTTGTTAATACAGGGTTACCCACGCTGTATTGAAAACAATGGTTTTCATGAAAAGTTTTAGTTTCATTAATATACTTTAAATGTTTTAAAGAAAAATTGGTTGTTTTTGTTTTGGTAAAGTTTATTTAAAGTTTTTTAAAACTTAAAAATAATTCAAAGCCGATTCAAAAGTTAGTTTTAAAATTAAAACCTCCAATCACTGAAACTTCATCTTTATAATTACATTTACAAATAATTGTAGCACTTTCACGTACAGGGCTACACACAAAAGCATTAAGTTCAGAGACGACTGTGCAGAGTCTTATTCCAGCTTTCTTTCTTACATCCTACATTCATGGTTCCCTCTAGAAATATAATTGCTTCTTGTTTAAGTACATCAGTGAAGGACTATTATTCACGATTAAAAACTGGAATCAACGTTTGGAAAAGTTTCTTGTCGTAATTAAAGTCAGTTTCGTTGAGGCTAACCCTGTACGAAAAACACGTGGGTTTTATAGAAAGTGCGTGTTAAACATTTCAGAGAGAGAGAGATTGATAAGTTCCAGGAAAGAGGCTGAAGGGGAATTGGGAGAGAAGAGGGGGGAGGGGGGAGGGGGAGCAACGTGGAAAAAGAATGAATGGTTGAAGGTTGTCAGAAGCAGTAATCTTCTTTTCTAAAGTTTTCCACAGTTTTGGTTTAAATACATTCATTCTTTTTCCACAAATATATTCATCCTTTCATACGTTTAGATATATTCGATCATCCTTTCATTCATTCAAATATAAATTCATCCTTTTTTATTCTTAAATATATTCATTCTTTCATATTTTTTAAAAATATTCATCCTTTCATACTTTTGAGATATATTCATCCTTATTATACTTTTTAGATATTTTCATCCTTTCATACTTTGAAATATATATTCATCCTTTCATACTTTAAAAATATATTCATCCTTTCATCTTTTTGTTACTCATCTTTTCATACTTTTTAATTTATCCTTTCATACTTTTTAAATATATTCACCCTTTCATACTTTTTAAATATATTTTTCCTTTCATACTTTTTAAATATATTTTTCCTTTCATACTTTTTATTTTATTCATCCTTTCATACTTTTAAATATATTAATCCTTTCAAACTTTTAAATATATTCATCTTTCATACTTTTTATTTTATTCATCCTTTCATACTTTTAAATATATTAATCCTTTCATACTTTTAAATATATTCATCTTTCATACTTTTTATTATATTCATTCTTTTATACTTTTAAATATATTTATCCTTTCTTACTTTTAAATATATATATCTTTCATACTTTTTAAATAAACGCAGCAAATTATATCAAAAATCAAGACGACATTCAAGTCGTCCTGCATACTGTCATGTTTCGTGGAACACCCTGTAGCAGAAGAAACGTTTTTTACAATTAAATAATAACCCGGACAAAACATGTAAAAAATTTATTTATAAACTAATTTGCTGTTCAGGAACATATATCTTAACAGAAAATATCTATGAAAACCATAATAGAACCGTCGAATCGATAATTTCATTATATCACTATCCTTTGCGCTTTCTATTATTTTTTTCGCAGATTTCTGAAAAATGTCGTCTTCACAATTAGGAAATAAAAAAATTAAAAAAATAAATCGATAACTTCACTATGTCACTCTCCTATGCGGTTTTTATAATTTGTTTCGCAGATTTCTGCAAAATGTCGTCTTCACATTTATAAATAAAAAAAAAAACTCCAACAAGTGACCCCAGCTAAAAGAATTTGCAAACACCTGCGAGAATTTAAAACGAATTTTAATAACTTATTGCCAATGACAGACGTTCATTATTTTTCTCAACCTGTTTGTATAGTGTATATAGGTTGTTAATTGTTTTTAAAAACGATCGTTTTTTGTTTTGTTTTCAAAAACAATCGTTTCGTTTTTAGTTTTTAAAAACGACCCACGCGTTTTGAACTTTGAGAAAACGAATTTTTTAAAACGATTTGCGATCCTTTTTATACGATTGTTGTTTAAAAAACGATTGCTTTTGAAAAACTATCGTTTTTTGAAAAAAAAAATTTGTTATTGACAATTATGTTAACGATCGTTAACGAAACGACGAACTTTATAAATACGGTCGTTTTACAAAAAAAAAACTATCGTTTTTAAAGAAAAAATTACATGCAACTTTATTGAATGTTGTGGGGCAGCTAAAACTTCTTGATATTTTCTTAAAAAACTACTCAATGATAAGTACGGATGCCCTTCAGGTCGGTTTCCTCTTTTCTTTCACTTTCGTTAACGATGGTTCGTCGTTAACGATCGTTAAGAATTACCATTTTTAAAAACGAACTTTTTAAAAAACGATCGTTTCGTTTCCGATTTTTTGTCGTCGTTTTCATAACGAAACGATCGTTTTTTAAACAAATGAAAACATCCCTAAGTGTATACATGCAACTAGTTTGTAGAGTAGTATTTGTTACACGTTTTGTCCAACTTATGTAAGAATTAAAAAAAAACGTTTCTTCTGCTGAATGAGACAACTGGTGAAATATTACAAAGGACTATGCACGCTCTTATTTAAGTCTTATTTAATTGTTTTCCGTAAAAATGTCTCATTGGTACTAAATGAATCTTAAAGTTTTTCTATACAACACTGCATTCTCTGCATGCCGGTTTCTATACAACACTGCATTCTCTGCATGCCGGTTTCTTTTCTATACAACACTGCATTCTCTGCATGCCGGTTTCTATACAACACTGCATTCTCTGCATGCCGGTTTCTCCCTTTAGCAAAATGTGGTTTACTTACTTTGAATCTAGAAATATTCATACAATTCATAATATTTCATTTAATGTTTAGGGTGTCATCATAGAATTTACTAATGCTGCGTCATCAAAGACGATTTTAAAGTTTCCTTAAATTTCAGGTAGCCGAGCTTTCACCCATTTCTCTACAGGAGATTATCAGCAGCTCGGCAAATCTTTCTGTGAAACTATACTAGGTTAGTACAGTAGAGTACAGTACAGTACAGTGCAGTACAGTACAGTACAGTACAGTACAGTACAGTACAGTACAGTACAGTACAGTACAGTACAGTACAGTACAGTACAGTACAGTACAGTACAGTACAGGTCACTATTGTACACTACAGGATACTACAGTACACTACAGTACACTACAGTACAGTACAGTACAGTACAGTACAGTACAGTACAGTACAGTACAGTACAGTACAGTACAGTACAGTACAGTACAATACACTACAGTACAGTACAGTACAGTACAGTACACTACAGTATAGTACAATACACTACAGGTCACTATTGTACACTACAGGATACTACAGTACACTACAGTACACTACAGAACGCTACTGTAAACTACAGTACACTACAGTACACTACAGTACACTACAGTACACTAAAGTACAGTACAGTACAGTACAGTACAGTACAGCACAGTACATTGAAGAACAGTACAGTATAGTTCATTTGAGAACAGTAAAGAAGTTCAAGAGAAAAGAAAATTCAGCTCAGTATTGTTCAGTATTCTGTATCTGTGCTATTCTGGCTTTATTAACCTTTTTTTAATGTTATTAATAAGTCGATTTTTGTCTCCAAAACGTAATTGTTGATAAGTTTTTAAACCCTGAAGATCAAAATCTAAAATGAATGAATATAAAAGATAAATATTATTCTAAAGTTGAAATACATCTGACTTAATCATGAATAGAGTTGAGACAGTCTGATGAAAACTGCAATTTCTCCTTGCACCAGAATTTGTATATTTTTCGGATCATGTTGGAAAGTTTTCAACATTCATCTTTCTCAAAATATTCATCATATGGTCCTATCAAACATTTTGACAAAAGGGGTGTGAATCAAAGCTGGAAATCAAAAGGAAATTAGTTTTTGTTACCAAATCGAATTATGTTAATCCCCTATATCTTTGCAATCTGTTGGTGTAACCCTTTGATAAGACAACGGGTTACAAATTTTACAGAGTTTGTGGCATAAATTCAGTTCCTTTGTTAGTGGAAATATTGGTACTAACAAGATGCTTGAAAAAAATGGATAAGTTGTTAAGTAGGGCTGGACGATCGTTCCCATCGTTGTTTCTCGGGAACGAACGGAACGAACTTTTTCAAAAAAGTATTAACACGCCCAGCTCAAAGACTGGGCGTTGTTCCTGGGTATACATCGTTCTTTCAAGGAAATGAACGGAACGGAACGAAAGATGAAAAATTTCAAAAAAGTAGGAACACGTTAGGAAGTTGGCAAACAAAATTACCAAAGCAACCAAAAATGCGAAAAACTATTGTCAATTTAATTAACAAATATCTTAGCTTTACAGAAAAGAATTGTAATTAAAAAATAGATACCCATTCCGAGCTAAGTTTCCTAATTAGTACTAAGAAGAGGATTTTCTATTTTTGTCTAAAAGATAATTACGTAAGCTCGACTGAACAATCTTCAAGAAATAGTTTTTATTTATTTAATCCCTTTTCTTCTCGAAAAAAAACTTTGATTTATGCTGATCGTTTTTCCCTTTATTCTACGGTTGAAAAATCCAAATTTTTGGTTTATTTAATACTATCTTAGAAACCCGGCTTATAGCCTGGCAACTATTTATTCTGTGTAGAATTCAACCCAATCAAAAAGGATAAGATAAAGATTTGTATTCCATCTTTAATCATAGAAAAGGTAAAAGAGTATCGTTAAAAATCTAAAATATAGGGCTGGGAACATTTAGACTTTTTAAAACCGTTCGTCAACGGTTGGTTAAAATATCATAATAGACCAGCTTTCTGGGTGTACGTGCGTTCTTATAGCCTATGTAACATATTTCAACTAAGAATGCAGTATTATAGAGAAAAGATTTAGGATTTATTTGATATAAATGAGACATTTTTAAGGTGAACAATTATTAAACAATATTGCACTTTTAGCTCAAATATGTCTCTCCTTCAGTCAGCAGTTTGTTAACGTTTTCAGATATATTAATGATGTTAACGCATGGTACGTGACCTTTATTACTTTCTTGTCTTTTTATAAGCAGCTTATTACGCTCGTTAACAATCTCAAAACTAACGGTATCTTCCATTAATTTATAAAATTCTGCCGTTCGCGTAAGGAACGTATCCCAGCCCTAGGGACATGTCATTTTATGAATAAAGGTTTACTTAACATAAAAGGAATGTAGTCTCTTCATTTTATGTGAAATGAGTTGGCAAAGAGAGAATCAAGTTTGCAGTTGCAGTGTATGACTAATATAAGGAAACAGACACAAATCGTCTTTAAAGTCTCATCCTTTGTGTGCAACACTGTAGGATGAATACATTTTTAGAACTAACATTAAATATCATTCAAGATAATCACAAATTTAACCTTCTCATGCTTTATTTCCTATGAAGAGGAAAATGTAAAATATTTGCAAAATTATGAAGATTTTTGATAAATACGTATTTTGCAAATTGCGTTTACAGCGAAAGCTTGCAATCACGCCAATGGAATTCATGTTTGACAGAAACTCTGTTTTCCTAATCACAACCCAATGTCGTACAGATCTTAGATATTTCATACTAGTATTTCATAAAATTTTGGTTTGAAATATCAAAGGGTTACAAGACTTAATTTCTTTGTTCTTAAGTGGAATTGTTAAAATGTACACAAAGTTGTCAGTAGTGCTTCAATTTGCAAATTTTGTCAAGAATTGGCACGGAATTTATTCTGCATGCGAAGTAGCACGACAAAATTGTTTGATTTGTATTTTTTAATTCTGACGGAAACTACGTCGCACATTTAAAATATTTTTGACAATTTTTTTTGTTTAGATTTCTGCGATACAAGTCCACCAAGAGAACAACTTAGACATAAAATAATCCAAAGATTGAATAGGTAAACAAAAAAAAATTATTTGCAAAGATTGAATTCGTAAATTAAGATAAATTATTTGCAAAGATTGATAGGTAAATAAAGATAAATTATTTGCAAAGATTGAATTGGTAAATAAAGATAAATTATTCGCAAAATACTTGTGAAGCAATGTTTTAGAAATTAAAACGCAAATCGAGTTGAATTGTTTAAAAATATTATATAGTTCTATACAATGTACTCCATGATTTAAAACTTTACATATGTACTCCATGCTTTATAACTCTACATGTGTACTCCATGCTTTTTAACTCTACATGTGTATTTCATGCTTTATAACTCTACATGTGTACTCCATGCTTTATAACTCTACATATGTACTCCATGCTTTATAACTCTACATATGTACTCCATGCTTTTAACTATACATGTGTATTTCATGCTTTATAACTCTTCATGTGTACTCTATGCTTTATAACACTACTTGTGTACGTCATGCTTTATAATTCTACATGTGTACTCTTGCTTTTTACCGTTCCATGTAAACTCTATAATTTATACCCTGCAGGTGTACATTTATACCTCTACAATCTACATATGTACTCAATGCTTTAAAACTATATGTATCAATGCTTTAAAACTCAGTGTGTGTACTTTATGCTTTAAAACTCTGTACGTGCAGTATACTACATGCTTTATATTTCTACATGTGTACTCTATGCTTTTTAACTCTTTTTTTTGTACTCTATGCTTTATAACTCACACGTATACTCCATGCTTTATAATTCTACATATGTACTCTATGCTTTATTACTCGACATGTGCATTTTGCACTTTATGCTTTCTACCTCTACATGTGATCTCTATGCTTTATGACTATACATTTGTACTCCATGCATTATAACTTTACCTGTGTACTACATTCTTTATAACTCTACATAAGTACTCATTTAAATGTTTTATATCCCTGGGTGTACTATATTCTTTATAACTCTACATGTGTACTTTATGATTTATAACTCTATTTATCTAGGGAGGAGAGTACTGCTGTTGAGCCTGCAAATATATCCTTGTCCGAGTATTCCAGTTTGTCCTCCTCCGGGGGGAGTGAGGACGAGGCAGGGGTAGAGGACTGGAGTAAGGACTCTATCAGGTCAAACTGGCACCATATTAACATCACAATTAGTTTCATCATGCTCGTTGTTCTTATCATCTTTATGAACACAAATATGGATTGTTCACACCAATCCATTTCATAAAACCAATGTGCAATGTTCTAAGATGATTTTAGTTTATTTTAGGACGTTAATATTTTAAATCTCCAGGTTTGGATGTTATGATCGAAAATTGTTATAAAAAAATCCGTTGAACAGAAAACCCCATTCCCCCTAATTTTTACAGTGTTTCGCATTATTCATGTGAAATTCTGATTTTTTATAGTGCAATACGAGCAAATATTCGAAAATCTCAAAGAAGAAAAAAGAGAAGATTTGTGGCTGGGGATTCATTTTATACAACAAACTATTCAGAGTATCTTAGACCTGAAAACTACTCATCAGGTACAGGTACAGGTACAGGTACAGGTACAGGTACAGGTTCAGGTACAGGTACAGGTACAGGTACAGGTACAGGTATTTATGTAGTGAGTAAAAATCATTGTTTTCTATTTGTGCATAATTTTGCATATTTTTTTCTCTTTTCTTTTGGAAACCTGTGTTTTCAAAAAAAAAAAAAAAAAAATTTATTTAAAAAAATTTTAACTACACCATTTATATATGTATTTATATCTTTGTGTGTGAATAAATCTTTATAATATAATAATATAAAGCTTTTAAGTAATTTTTAGAATACTGGTTTTAAATGCCTCAATATTTGATTGCTCTTAATATAAAACATTGTAAATGGCTTTTCAAGGTTAAAAAAATAATAATTCTTAATGACCTTCATCATTAAAACAATGTATTAGTTAAGAATATTCTTTTTTCTTTCTTGATATTAGAAATATCTGAGCAAATAAAAGTTATTGTTCGTCACTATCGAGACAATTTTATTTTAAATATTGAAATTCAAATAATTAGGAAAAGATGGTACAGGGGGAGTCAAGAGATCAAACAGCGATCGCCAGGTCTCAGAAAGTACTCGGCCTAGGTAAGCTACAGGTTTCCCATATAGTGAGAATAGAAAACTGTAGAATAGTAAGACGACATTAAAGCAGCACTATAGAGCATTTAATTGCAAAACAAATAGCTTTACTAGGTTATTATATCACTTATTAAGTGAAATGGGTCTATTTAAACTGTACAATTGTTGCTGTGCCTCGTGTCCATTGGACTACTTAAAGTCATAACTTGAGTCTAAATGTCCACTTCTTATTCCAGATTTTCTGGTTCTCACTGTAGTCAACTTTTATTTTATTTTACCAATTTAGTTTTGGAAAAAAAAATGATAAAAGACGTCTTATCGTTGTAGAACGTGGTGTACATTGTACAGTGTACAGTGTACAGTGTAGATGCATTTGATGCATTTTTCACTAGTTAAAGAAATCATCCAACAACCCAACTGGGTTTGTGCATTAATACCTAAAAAATAATGCTAAAAAGATCAAAATCGTCCTTTTTAATTCTATTGTTTGACGATATATTATTGGAGAAACTACTACATAGGTGCCCCTTCCCCAAAGGATTTTTTAAACTTACTATTTCCACTGCATTTCCTGAACTGTTTAAGTTGAATTCAAATTAGAAAACCATAACTAAAATCTAAATTGAATGAGTTAGAACACTAAAACTCAATAAAAAGTTTTAAATCAGTTGTTTGAGCTCTTCTAAGCTTATTTGAATTTTTATGTTTTTAAAATCTGAATTCGGAATAATATTACCAAGAAAATTAGATATAAGTGACTTTAACATGAATTCTTTTGTAATTAAATCGTCAAATCAGAATCATGTGGATGAATTGAATTTATTTTTTTGCATTATTTTGTTAGGCCTTAATGCCGGGGAAGTCGGTGGTTGGCTTGATTCCATATTGATGATGTATAGTGTCTGCCTTTGTTCAAAATAAGATTGACATTTTATTTGTTTTCAATCATAAAAGCTATATTAAAAGAACTATTTAAAATTTCTAAAATGTAACCAGGTAAATTTTCTTTTCTCATACTTGTGGGTAAAATCAAACCTAGAGGAACTACGAGGTCACAATTCAGATTGAAAACAATACAGATTGATGTCGTCTTTTCAAGATTTAAGGGGTTTTCGTTTACAATAACCCTGAGGCAGAAGCCCAAAGGAGTTTTGCGTTTGCTCTCTATCTCTGTCTAATCATTCAATGCAGCTTGCGTTTAACTCCTTTGAGGTTCTGTCTCAGGATAATTGTGAACGAAAAATCCCTAAATCTTGAAAAGACGACATCTAGTGTCCTATCTGTATTGTTATTAATCTATGATAGTACTTAAATTATAATTTTCTTTGTTCAGAGGAATATTACGTCGACAAGCAACCTCTCCTGCGCAAACTGTGTACAATGATTTTAATGAAGGTAGGAGTTTTCTTAAATATTTCTCTACTAGGGTACTTCCAACCACCACCCCCCCCCCCTCCCCAACACCCTATCCCTATACACTAAAATTTCCAAATATGACAAAGACAAGATTTTAACTTTTTAAGCTCTATTTTTATAATCTAATAATAATAAGTTAACGGTAAAATTGGTAGAATCTAAGATTTTGCCGCAAACTCTACTTTTTAATCCCTTTCTTTGAATAGTTAGAAATACTTAAGATTGCAAAGATATAGGGATTAGAACATTTTAGTTTGCATGGAAAGCCATGACAATTTTATCTATTTATCAAACTGAGTTTTAGAAAAATGTAGACTTAGGATAAACTTACATATTGTTAGTAAATATTTATATTTATAATCATTATAAAATCAATTTCAATCAGGTGGGTGAAATATATACCACAAGATTCATGTTTTGTAAAATTTTTATTTTAAATTATTAAATATACTTGCTTGGAAACCCAGCTTTGTCTAGAGTGTTCCCTTAAAAGTTGACCCACTCACCTTGATTAAAGATCGGATATCCAAACACTAAAACAGAGATAACAACTTTATACAGGTTGTCTCTAGAAAAAACGAACTATACATTGTTGCACTCATCATGTAATGCCATTTTTAAAATGGTGGACATTTCAATTACAGCTACTTCAGTTTACATATTTTAGGTGTTGAGAAAAGAGACAGTTTATTAGCTAATGCAATGAAGGTGAACATCAAAAATCATAATTATAAAAAGGGGTGGGATGGGGGTGGGGTTTACTTTAACTATTAATATTTCAAAGAAAAGGCAAAAATTTTAAACAATCCTGGAAACAGGTCATGACAATTACATTTTACCAGGGGGGATAATAGTTCTCTACCTGTGTGCTCAGTTAGCTGTACTGTACACATACAACTGTTTACTAATAATGATATACTATAGGCTAGGCCAAAATAAACTTATAATAAACAAATATGCAGTACGCTCTCGGTATAGTTGATGGTTGGTTGATGGTCTATACAATTAGTAAAGGATTAGCGTTCATCATCACTCTATACACAATAACCTCGTTGCATTTTACTTACTGGTGTTATTTAGAAATAAAACAGTTTCTAAACAATCCTAATATATGTAACATTGAAATATAAACACTATATTTACTTCTCTTCTCATTGGTAACCTTTTGGAGTAATATAAAGAATTTTTATAAATAATAGGTGCTAAGAATTTAATTTAATACCTTCAACAAGAAAAAGAAAGAAATTAACTTAGTCGGAAATTAATGAAGGGTTTTCAAGATTACTGGTTTAAGCTTAAAAGGTAATCTAGATATTGATAATTTTTAATCTCCAAAATGCTTCAAGAACTGTATTTTTTACCAAGTTGTCACTCGTCGTGCAGATCCTTTAATCACCTCTTTCTTACTCTTTAACCCTATAAAGGCTGGGAGGGGGGGGGTCTGAATCTATGTATAGATAGGGGGGCGTCCTACGCTCCCCCCCCCCCTAAAAAGGCCTTAGAGAATATGAACAGGGTTGAAATACATGTTCAAAGCCCAAATTTTCAAGGCCAGCTCACTGAAAAAAAAACTAGATCGATAACTTTTGTAGTTTGGGTACTAGGGAGGGTTGTAAAAATACCAAAAAAAGGTCAAAAAAACGTAAGAAATATTATTTTTTGTTTAAGACAAATATCAAAGTGTGACACATGTTTCTACATCCATTTTTCGAGGGGTTTTCAAAAATATAGTAGATCTGTAGCTTTAGTCACAAAAAGTTATGGGCTATTTTAGACTTTTTTTTTACACAGACCGGACTTTTTACCGACCTATACATAAAAAAATCCACTAAATTTCTTCTAATTAAAAGTAAAAAAATGTCATGGTGATAGTGTCAAAAATGAGAGTGCAATAGAAAAAAATCTAGAGGGGGAGGGGCGCCAAACGCCCACCCCCCACCCCTTCCCTCCTAGCCTGCTGAGGGTTAATGGTCATCTTAGGGGCACAGTTGATAAGTCTTTTTTTATTTTAATTGTTTTACTTGTTTCATGTTTTTTGGTACAACAGATTGTTCCAATTATTAATATAAAAGCATATAAAGACCCAACTCATGTTACACTTTATTATAAACCTTATAAGGTTACATAAATCCCTATACAATACACAATACACAGATCATTTTAGATAGAGTTTATTTTCAAAATTAGAGGGAAATTATAATCCATTACAAACTAATTTGTTTCTTAAATTCTAAATTCAGGGAATTGGATTGGATTCAGAAAGCTCAACCGACCTTGAAATAGATTCAGATCCAGGTTGTTCAGATTTATAATTTTTGTTGAATATTTGCGTAATTTTACCTATATTACTACATTACATAATACGCATTATTATGCTGAATCTACAAGTTCTAAAAACAAGTGCCATTTTTAATTTGCAAATATATATCTCTTGAGTCTGGGGTTGTCTTTTTTAAACCAAAAATTAAGTTATTTTCTTAAAGTTCAAAATATTATTTACTGAATTTAAACAAAAGATAATTTTTTCAAAAGAGTTATCTAAATTCAATCTTGAAATATCTTTTAAATGTTTTTTTAAAATGAAAGTTTTTTATTTAATAAATTTTCAATATTTTTTCTGTAATTTTGAAATTAATAATATTTATCTCTTTAAAATTTTTCTAAATCAGAATAAATTCAAGATTTAATAAACCTCAGCTTTCAACCCGTCTCAGAGGACAGCATGGAGGACGAGTCCAACAGGTAGAGGATGGGGAGGAAGGAGGAGAGGGAGAGCAGAGGTCTGGAAAGGGGGAAGAGAAGGAGGGGGAGGACAGGATGGAATAAAATGTTGAAACATCTTTTATTATAAAAAACTAGTTTTTTCGATATTTAGATAAAAACAGAACTATACATAATACTTTAAATTCCTGTGAGAAACAATAAATAAAACTATTTTGGGACCAAATAAATATCTTTTCACTTATTTCCTTGATTGTTTGAACTTTAATTTGGAAAATTATCGATTTCAGAAAAAAACTTAAATTTTAAAGGTATTGTTGATTTAAGGAGTTGCATGTCTTATTCACAACGCTTTTAATCCTTTCGACCATAGATTAATTAACCTAACAGATAGAACACTACACGTAATTTTTTCAAGGTTTTGGGGTTTTCGTTCACAATAACCCTAACGCAGAGGTCTGTCTTGTAATTCTATGCAAAGAAAGCCTGATTTACGTAGACTGCGCGTAAATCCTTTGGGCTTTTGCCTCAGGGTTATTGTGAAAGAAAATCCCCTAAATCTTGAAATGACGACATCTTGTGTTCTATCTGTTATTTTAATAAATCTATGCTTTCGATTCTGTACAATAATTAGAACTGTTTCTTAAAGTTTTAAAAGTTTGAATTGTGAATCAGGTTTGCCCGATCCTCACTTGAAATTGCGCTTACAGTCACTTTAATTGTTTTTGTTTCAGTACTGATGGTGCCCTAGAAACGTGTAACATAGAACCACAAGATAGTTACTATGCAGAATTTTCTGCACTTTCTTGCCAGAAGGGATATTCAGAAATCCTCGCCTCTGTTAAGAGAATCAAGTAAATTCTTAATTTTCCAATCCTTTTCGGAACTTTCTATTTTAATTTTTTTTTCAGAATAATTTTTTGCTTAACTGTAATTTTTGTTTTTTACATGTGTTTGTTTTATCTACTAAAATATCTTCTTAACCCTAATCCGACAGACGTCTGGTTAACCCAAAATAAACTGGGGGTTTATTATGTCGGTTTCTTATTCCGCAGTTTTCTAGTTCTCTCTGTATCAAAATTAATGAATTGAACATGATTGAACCGCTCAGACGCAGTTCAACCACTTCTCTGCTAAGCTATGGTTCAATTTCAAGTTAAAGAAAAGTGTTTGAACGCAACGTCTTCGTGTTTCAATCATGTCTCACTAATCATTAATTCTGGTCCTTAATGTTGTAATATTAAACCATTAACTTTTTCTTCATTTGTTCCCTTTCACCCTTTTCTTTTTCTTTAGCTGTTAGAGTGTTCTCTTTCACCCTTGTCTTTTTCTTTAACTGTTAGAGAGTTCTTATTCACTGTTTACTTTTTCTTCAGCTGTTGTGTTGTTCTTACTCTCTGTTTACTTTTTTTCGGCTGTTGTGTTGTTCTTATTTACTGTTTACTTTTTCTTCAGCTGTTGTGTTGTTCTTATTTACTGTTTACTTTTTCTTTAGCTGTTGTGTTGTTCTTGTTCCCTGTTTACTTTTTCTTCAGCTGTTGTGTTGTTCTTATTCACTGTTTACTTTTTCTTCAGCTGTTGTGTTGTTCTTATTCCCTGTTTACTTTTTCTTCAGCTGTTGTGTTGTTCTTATTCCCTGTTTACTTTTTCTTCAGCTGTTGTGTTGTTCTTATTTACTGTTTACTTTTTTTCATTTCTTCTATTTAACCGTTATTTTATTGCTTTAGTTGCTCGCTCGTAATGGTTTGATTTCCTTATGCTGTGTTCTTTTTTCCATTATTATTATCATTGTTTTTACTTTTATTTTCATAAATTCATTTAAGATTTATAAAAATATTAAATATATACTTATTTAAAATTGTAAGTACTTAATTCATTGCCAAAAGTGCTTTACCGTATGATTACAGAGATTAAGCTAAAATATTGGAAAACAATTGAGAAAAAAAATCGAATTAACTAATGCTTTTCATCAAGAAAATCTCATTTTTCACATCATACACCCATTATAAAGATACCAACAATGAAATTTGATATTTTAAGCGAATATGATCTAAATAATCGTTTTAAATCTGAAATTCATTTTTATTCTAGATCCTCGCTTTTGCGTCGAAGAAGTTTTATACAAAACCCGCAATCTGATTCTAGCCAACTTCCAACCCAAACAACTACAGGTAGTTTATTTAGTCTCCGTATACAATACGATCATGATGCAGGGATTTGACTCCAAATCCAAACCCTGGGATTGCACTCCTACCCCAGGATCTTTACTACTAAAATGGGATCTTTACTCCAACCCTGTGATCTTTACTCCCACCCTGTGATCTTTACTCCCCCCTGGGATCTTTACTCCTACTCTGGATTCTTTACTCCAACCCTGGGATCTTCACTCCAACCCTGTGATATTTACTCCCACCCTGTGATGTTTACTCCAACCCTGAGATCTTTACTCCAACCCTGAGATCTTTACTCCAACCCTGAGATCTTTACTCCAACCCTGTGATCTTTACTCCCACCCTGTGATCTTTACTCAACCCTGAGATCTTTACTCCAACCCTGAGATCTTTACTCCAACCCTGGGGTCTTTACTTTGACCCTGGGATCTTTACTTTGACCCCAGGATATTACTCCAAACCCAGGGATTTTACTAAAAAATCCAGGGTTTTTACTCCGAGCCCTGAGATTTTACTTCAACCCCGGGATTTTACTCCAACCCTGGGATTTGATCCAGCCTTGGGAATTTACTAAAAAAAATGAGGCACAAGTTTTTTCCACTTTGATAAATTGTTTATTTTTTAGGTTCAAATATTGATGAATCTGATACAGCTGCCAAACCTCTGATATCCGTTGAAGAATCACGTATCGAGACACGTGTTGAAATTCTGCGTACTCCTGCCTCGCCAAAAAAAGTTAAAACCACTCGAAAAAAATGGAAGAAAACAATATCATCCACTACATTAGGTGAAGACATAAAAAGTATTAATCGTTACATAAGTTAAGGAATGCTTGCGACCTTTCTGCTACATGGTTTGCAATCTTTATCCTTTCTGCAACATGGTTTGCAATCTTTATCCTTTCGGCAACATGGTTTGCAATCTTTATCCTTTCTGCTACATGGTTTGCAATCTTTATCCTTTCGGCAACATGGTTTGCAATCTTTATCTTTTCGGCAACATGGTTTGCAATCTTTATCCTTTCGGCAACATGTTTTGCAATCTTTATCCTTTCGGCAACATGGTTTGCAATCTTTATCCTTTCTGCAACATGGTTTGCAATCTTTATCCTTTCTGCAACATGGTTTGAAATCTTTATCCTTTCGGCAACATGGTTTGCAATCTTTATCCTTTCTGCAACATGGTTTGCAATCGTTATCCTTTCTGCAACATAGTTTGCAATCTTTATCGTCGAAATCTTAGCTCCACATTAGACTAAGATTGGAAAATAATCCCATTAAACTCTGGAGTCGGTAGACGGCATTTAGACTCAGATCATGAGTGTAAATAGTCTAATAGCATGAAAATCCCTATTTTGCATTCATAAAAATGATTATTTTCGAGATATTTGATATGAACTACTATTGTATAACAACATCAAATAAACAGATTGAATATATTTCGCTTTTCTTTTTCAACAGTTTAATGGTCCATCATTATTTTTATTTATGGATTCTTTAGTGGATGAAGCTAAGAAACCAAAGAAAGTTTGCGGCTCGGAAAAGAAATCGACGAAAACCAGGAAGAAAGATGAGAAGAAGAACGAAACTGCACTCACTAAAGTTTACAAGTGAGTTAACTAACTGCTAGCTCAGTATGAATATTGATTATAATCCTTTAAAATATTCGACAATTTTCAGGCTAAAACTGCAATGAGTTGTTTTATATATTCTTAAATATCTATCATGACAGGGACCAAGGGAATTGAGTCTTTGCAACAATCGAATCTCAAATTTTCTCATTCCTATATCTATGCAACATGAAAGTGGAAACCTTTGATATTTAAAACCTTGATTATTTTAACTTCCAGAATTCATAGATTGAAATATCTTAGGTCTATGATATTAAGTTGCAAAGATATAGGAATTACAAATTCAGAATTTCGGACAAAAAAAATTACATGCTATTTATTAAATCTGGACCGTTTAATTCAAATAATTTAGTTCATTAAGTTGTTAAATACACTTTCTTATTTACTCTTAAAAATTAGAATAATTTTCTTCAAAAATAACTTCTAAATAATAACGATTTTCTATTTTAAAAATGATAAAGAATATATGGCGTCCTTGAGGAAAAATAAACCAGATTTTTGTTTAAATTTTATCTTATCGTATGATTTAAGGGATACAAGATTAAAATAAACCTGTTAAACCTTAATAGTTTAATGGTGAATATTTCTAATTGTTTGATAATCTCTATTGCAGCTTTTTGGGAGAGATTTAGGGTTTCCCAACCCACATAGAGGATAACCTCATTAAATCTAAAATAAGCCATTTAAAGTCGCCCTTAGAGTATCATCCTTTATGGGTAACACTGCACTTGTTTATATTTATTGTTTTGTAAAGAAAACATATAGATTTAGCGAAAACAAAATAAATGTACAGAAAACATAAACAGAAATTTAGAACAATTATACAAAACTTCTAAAAACAAAAAGAAACCGTAGTAAGCTTATAAAAAACGTGTATATGATGTATTACAGTAAGCTTATAAAAACGTGTATATGATGTATTATAGAAACGGTATAAAAAACGTATATATGATGTATTGTAGAAGCGTATAGAAACGTTTTGTAGGGAAGTTATAGAAACGTATAAAAAACAGAAAGAAAAGGTATAGAAAACGTATAGAAACAGAAAGAAAAGGTATAAAAAAACAGAAAGAAAAGGTATAGAAAACAGAAAGAAAAGGTATAGAAAACAGAAAGAAAAGGTATAGAAAACAGAAATAAATGGTATAGAAAACAGAAAGAAATCGCTTAGAAAAACTATTAAAATCGTTAGAAATCGTATACAAAACATGGAGTACGCTTGTAAAAACCGTACTTTTAAAGCATACTTTAGGTTTAAAGGGGTAAATAATGACTGGGATTTTTATTATAATAAAGAAATTGAGTCTTTTTCACAAACTCAGATTGTCTAGTCCCTATGTCGCATACCTTAGATATTTCAAACTATGTATTATGGTAGATCAAATAATATAAGTTTTAAAAAAAATCAAAGATTTCTAACTTCAGATTGCAAATTAGATGTAGGGATTAGAAAATTAATATTATAAATGTATAAAGTATATATTAATATGTTGTAAATATTGTAGGAGAGCTGGAACCCTGACAAATGTATAAAGTATATATTAATGTATTGTAAATATTGTAGGAGAGCTGGAACCCTGACAAAACTAGAAGTTTTCATCAATCCGGAAACTCGGCGGAAAAATAGAAGAAAAAGTTGTGATGAAAAGATTCTGTAAAAAATAATGTTTTTATTGAAATAAAAAAATAAAAAATTTTAACAAAAAATTACAATCAAAGACTTAAGCACAACACATTTTATTGTATAACTTGTTGGTTAGAAATATCTTTTTTTAACTTGTAACCTCTTAAGTACATAATCCATTGGGTACAATGCTTATTTGGTGTTTTTCTAGTGAGGGGANGGGGGTTTGAGAACATGCTATGAGACACTCACTACATCATACAAGTCATTTATACAAATGTCCAGACTTCAGACACTTTAAGGCCAAGGGTTAAAGGAAAATATCTTATACAGGGTGGATCAAAAGAGTTGGCGGGTTGAATTTGAGCCTCCATGTTTTAGAATATGACTTTTGCCTCATAAAAATTTAAACTTACTGCCTTGTTTATAAAATAATATTTGTGCAATTACATATGTACAACATTAAAATAGACTGCCAAGTAAACGTTTAACACAGCAACCTGTATTTAAAAAACATATCCTAGTTAACCTTTCAACAGAACAGAGTTACTCTTCAGACTGCCCTCAGAACGCAGAGGCTGTTTCAAGAAAAAAAATTCCCTTGTGGACCAATGGTATAAAAATAGCCAACAGCCTTGACCAGTGTCTAGTCGAAAAGCTGTGGGCTATCCTGGGTGATAATAATAAGCTTGAAAACGTCAAATTTGTCAAACCTCGTCTATCCAAAATCCAGTCTTTGAAAAGATTCTTTATTACCACATGTTAGAGAATCCTCATGACCTTGAAAAACTTGACTGCACTTTATGTTCGGAGTCGGATACAGGCTGTATTCAAGGACAAAAGCCAATTTCCTGTTTTTTAAATAAAAAAAATTGAATACACTGCATAACTTTTAGTAACCCGCCAGTTCTAGCTTTTGATCCACCATGTACACTCTAGTATGCCGAGTCCCCATCTGCAGCGCCTGATCCAATCAGGGTTCAGTCATGTGTTTTTTGTCTACTCTGAACCAATAAAAATAGTATGGCGGTAACATAAAAATTTAATTCAATGAATAAAAAATACTGATAGAATATGTTTTGCAAATGATGGAATTAAGTAAAACTTTTTAATGTTGTTTTGATTGTTTTTCTTTAAATTTAAGTTTGGTAAAACCATTTTTAATAAAATGGTTGTACCAAATTAAATTAGGCGAATACATAGACAGATATGGCAATAGACCTATATATTCTATATAGACAAACATGTATATTCACAGATACGTTTAACAGACTGGCACATATACGCTTAAACAGACAGACTCCTAGATAGACAGACATGAAAGAAAACTGAAAGAAATTAAGCATAATAATATCTGGAAATAAAACGAGTTCTTGGCCTAGATATGTATAATGTATAAATGGCCATAAAATATTTGGTTCCCGGAGACCCAAGGTTAGATGATCTGGGTCGGAGAATGAATGAATAAAGCAGTTGCCCAACTTTGCCTGAAAAAATATATTTCCAGGAAAATTTTTTACAACTTACAAGCTTTCCAAACTTGAAGGAATTGAGTATTTGCAACAAGCTCTTCTCTAATTCATTTATCTTTGCAACCCAATGTCCTAGAACTTAAAATGTATAGATTATAAAATATGTTTGATCAAATAATGTAAGTTTTTAAAAAATATAAGACATTTGGGTTTGAGACAAAGCCTTATTTTTAACTTTAATAATTTATTTTGGTTAAGGGGTTTGGGCACAAGCTCACGCATACAAATAAAATGATATATCAATAAATCTATTTCCAGTTTGTTATCAAAGTCTTTCTATTATTTTGTTTTGCTAAAGATCGATTAAAAGTCATGTACCCCATCGTTTTGTGTTGTCCCGTTGTCTTAAAAACTTGACCATGGGTAACCATATTAACACTAATTTTACGCGCCTCATCTTGCTTATTGTTTTTCCTTAGGCTTAACTATTAGGTTTGGTTAAATGATAATGATTTTGGTTAATCGTATGTAGCGTTGATTTGTTAATGACTTGTAGAAACCTGGATTTTCAAACATAATTGAGTTATGTTCCTTTGTCCTTTCCTCAGTCAATCATAAAAAGAATAAAGAAAGAAAATAAAGAATTTTTCCTTTTAAGAATTGATTTTGTTTTCCTCTGTCTTTTCTTCCGTCTATCCTTTCCTTTCTTGTTCTGGGTTATCTAGCTCCGTAAAAAATTCTCTGTCAAAGCCTTATATATATTCCTTTGAGACGTGTCAGTGGAATAAGTAAAACAAACAAAACGAAAATTTAAGCCATTAATGAAAGCTTACTAAAAAAATGGGAGACATTAAAATGAAAGACAATCTATCAAAGTATGACTCAACTCAACTTAAAATGTTTTAGCATAGCAAGAACCTAGGTATATCTGAGTTTTAAGGTAAATCAAGTGAATTATAGTTACATATACAGGGTTACCCACAAAGAATGAGACAGTAAAGACGACTCTAAACTCTAAAAATATGACGATTTGAAGCTTGATTTTTAGTATCATGGTTTACTAATTGATCAAGCACAGAAATATGTCAGTAATGGCCTCCAAGGAACCCTAAAGTCAAGAAAATGGACCAAACAAATTCCCTAGAATCGTCCCTGAAGTCTCATCCTTTGTGGGTAACCCTGTATATATATATACATAGATAGAGATATATATAAAAAGAATCCCTGTCCTAGATCCAAAGCATAAAAAGTTTGGTTTCCGGAGACCCAAGGTTAGAATATTCTGGGTCAGAGAATGAATGAATAAACCTTTTCCTATCTTATCCATAGATGTTTAAATATACAGATTTAACAGTAAATTTGATTCTTTAGACCCATAAAGATGGTTAAATATACAGATTTAACAGTAAATTTGATTCTTTAGACCCATATAGATGTTTAAATATACAGATTTAACAGTAAATTTGATTCTTTAGGCCCATAAAGATGGTTAAATATACAGATTTATCACTAAATGTAATTTTATTTGCCCATAAGTGTTTACGGTGGTAGGCGATTATATCAATATAATGAAGACGACTTTCGATTTAAATTTTAATTGATATCAAGCTTTTAAACACATGGATACACAAAAACATGGAAACAAAGGAGGCTGTAAATTGTATTACTTGTAAACTTTTAATTCGAAAAAGCCTGTTAGCAATTAAAGTTTGAATAAAAAGTTGTCTTCATACACAGATACAATACACAGATGTTTCATTAAATTTGATTAGTTTGTTCCATTGATGGTTAAATTTACAGATTAATCAGTACATATTACTATTTTGGCCTATAGATGTTTAGATATACATGTTTATCATGAATTAAGTACATGTTACTGCATGCTGTGGTCCGGCCATGGATGGTTTAAATATACAGAGTTGTCAGAACATGTCACTGATTGGTTTAAAGATGGTTGAAATAACAGATTTATCAGTAGATGTCGATTCTGGTGTCCATAGTAGGTCAAATACACAGATTTATCAAAATATGGCACTGATATATGTATGGCCCATGAAATGGTTGAATACACAGATATATCGCCGTTGTTACTGTTGGGGTTCATGATACGTTTTTGCAATTGTATTTTCTCTGGGTCTGAGTTCCTACAAAAAAGTTGGCCTGCGACCAGAGCAGGGGTGGCTTATGATATTTCCAGAGGGAAGGAAATAATTTAGGTAATGAAGACATTTTTTTTAATCGATTCTTAAAATTGAAATTGAAGTGCTAGAAGGTGCCTGGTCTCTCTTTTTGTGCTTATAATTTTTTCCCGGGGGGACATTCCCACAGTTCCCCCCCCCCATAAAAAAGCCGGCTCTGGATCAGAGTTTATTTTTATTACATAAACAAACTAAGAATCAGACAAAACAAACAGGATAGTTTATTAGAAATTGAAGAATTGGACCAATGGTTGCCAAGGTTATATAACTAGGACAGAGGATGAATGAATGGAAGATAAATCCTCCGTTTGCTTTTGTACTCNTGATCGGTGTTTAGATAATTCTACACCGTGATCGGTGTTTAGATAATTCTACACCGTGATCGGTGTTTAGATAATTCTACACCGTGATCGGTGTTTAGATAATTCTACACCGTGATCGGTGTTTAGATAATTCTACACCGTGATCGGTGTTTAGATAATTCTACACCGTGATCGGTGTTTAGATAATTCTACACCGTGATCGGTGTTTAGATAATTCTACACCGTGATCGGTGTTTAGATAATTCTACACCGTGATCGGTGTTTAGATAATTCTACACCGTGATCGGTGTTTAGATAATTCTACACCGTGATCGGTGTTTAGATAATTCTACACCGTGATCGGTGTTTAGATAATTCTACACCGTGATCGGTGTTTAGATAATTCTACACCGTGATCGGTGTTTAGATAATTCTACACCGTGATCGGTGTTTAGATAATTCTACACCGTGATCGGTGTTTAGATAATTCTACACCGTGATCGGTGTTTAGATAATTCTACACCGTGATCGGTGTTTAGATAATTCTACACCGTGATCGGTGTTTAGATAATTCTACACCGTGATCGGTGTTTAGATAATTCTACACCGTGATCGGTGTTTAGATAATTCTACACCGTGATCGGTGTTTAGATAATTCTACACCGTGATCGGTGTTTAGATAATTCTACACCGTGATCGGTGTTTAGATAATTCTACACCGTGATCGGTGTTTAGATAATTCTACACCGTGATCGGTGTTTAGATAATTCTACACCGTGATCGGTGTTTAGATAATTCTACACCGTGATCGGTGTTTAGATAATTCTACACCGTGATCGGTGTTTAGATAATTCTACACCGTGATCGGTGTTTAGATAATTCTACACCGTGATCGGTATTTAGATAATTATTATGTACGTTTTCCTGTTACGCATTTAACAAAATATCAAAAAACCTTATTTTTTTGCTAAATTAAAAAAAATACGCCTTTCATATTTTCTTTCCAATTCACCCGAAGGATGAGGGGGTAAGTGGGTGAGCGTATATAAAGCTATATAACTTAGTTTATCTTTGATTGACGTTTCCCTTTTTATCC